ATGTGGAGATTTTACGTTAATTAGCTTGATTGAGGTAATCATTTCACTATGTATAGGTAATAAAATTGTCACATTGTACAGCTTAAATACATACAATTTTTACTTAAAACATATAAATAAAAATGTTTAAAACGTAAGGGACACTCAGGGAAATGTGAGCACTGTCTGTACAAACAGGCACGTGTATATCCAGATTTTAGCTGTGATGATGTGTTTAAACTTGTCTTTTACAGACACACACTGAATCACAGGTGAAATGTTAGGACGTCTGGGATTTGCTCCGAAACAGCTCAGGGCGAGGGACACAGGAGTGGGGAGATGGTGGATACAAGTGGCCAGGCGTTGCTCACTGTTAAAGCTGGCTGATGGGAAGATGCAGATGCCCTGAACTATTCTCTCTACTTATGCAAATGTTAGATGGTAAATAGCAATAAAAGGTAAAGTACACATGAAGGTAAAGAAACACACAGCGTGTTCCTGCATGGACACTTCCTGTCATCCCCACGCCATCCCACCGCCCCCGGCTCTCCCCTGGGTTCCTGGAACGACCTCATACCCCATTCTGCTGTATCCACTCCTGCACCCCTGGGTCCTCCCCATTTCCCAGTCAGATAGAAAGACAGTTCAAAATAAAAATGTGCATGGACACAACGCTCTCCTTCTGAGAGCTCTACAAAGGCCTCCCTTCTGTCAGAACTTATGCAGAGGCTCCTCCACGAACCAGCTCGTGGTTTCTAGACATGGCCTTGGCGGGGGGGCCGGGGGTGCCCCTCTCCCTGGGGAAGGGTCCAGGTCGTAAGCTGAAAGTACTTCAGTACTTTGAGGGAAGGGAAAGGCCAGTTCCTCCCGGCAGTTAACATCCCTAGATGCTGGGTAGAAAAGAAGAAATTTTGGGGAGTGCTTCCTGCTAGGCTTATCTGGTCTGGTGTGCCCAAGCTGCTGTAGGCGAGCCCTGAGCCTCAAGCCTGGAAGGGACCACAGAAACCTCAGGGTGTGCAGAAGCTGTGAATCTCAAAAAAAAGAAAGAAAGAAAAGAAAAGCTGCACTTGGGGAAGCTTGAAGAAAACGACTCAAAGTGTCCCCACAAACCTTTATGTAGCTGGAAAGGGCCCTGAAGGAGCAAGACAGAGGATCGTGGGCTCTTGAGGCCAACGTGGAGGCCCACAGACTTGAGGTGTGTCCCAACCCCTGGGGGCTGGCTCAGATCTGGCAGGAGTAGGGGCCCCAACTTGTGAGTGTCGGAGGGCTGAGCAGGATGCTCCACTGTGAGACCCACTGAGCGGACGGGCTTTATGAGGATGGAGAGACAGGACGAGGAAAGTAAAGGCAGATTCTCAGAAGGGTGGCAATTCCTGGGGAGTTTTAAAAAGGATGCACTGGGGAGAAATCGTTCCCACTTTTTCATTTAACTAGGGAATTGATTCACGCATGCCGGGGCTCAGGAAATGTTAATGAACTTCCTGAAGCAGCAGCGACCACCAGCAGAGCCCTGTCAGCTCGGGGCGACCAGGCTCCCAAGGGCTAGAGAGAGCTGCCGGGTGGGGCCCAAGTCCACTCTTGTTCCTGCTTATCCGACACACTCACCTTGGTGTCTTTGGGCTGGGACGTTGCGAAGTTAACACGGTTTCCCTTCCAAGGGAAACAGCTGATGAGCCCTGGCTGCCTCTCAGGTTCCTTATTCCTGAGACAAGATACACAAATGCTATCCCCTCATCCCCTTAGAAAAATGCAAAATTAAAACATACACAGACACCAATACTATAATTTTCCCAAACTAAAAAATATAAGGATTGAGTTCAGGAAGCTTGGAGTTACCTCGTCTCACGCGTCCCTTCCCCTCCAGGTCAGGTGCAACAGGTCCACACCCCCCAAATCACACCTGCACTGTGCTGACCAGCAGTGAAAAGGAAGAACTGGAGCCCAGGCAAGGAGGTACCTACACAGAGAATGGCCAGCTTCTTCCTGTCAATGTCAAAGTGCTGGTAACAGAGATGGACACACTCGCCCCAGCTCACTCCCACACAGGACTCTTGGCCAGTTTACTCCATGTCTGTCAGGAAAGCAAAGATTGTTCAAAGACTTGATGCCAACAGCATGCTAATGGGCACACTTAAGAGAGAGAGGGGTGCTCCCCTTTTCTCTAGCAGGTTACAGGAACTGCAGACCAGCAGCTAGATCTGTACTTGTTCACCAGAACCCCAGGGCCTAGAGGCACAGGAATCACCACAGGTTACCAAGGTCCAGAGGGTGCTCAGGAAGAGTGGTCAGCTGGAGCGGACCTGGAATAAGAGGTTTAACTGCTTGCCAATACAAAGGAGTTGGCAGATAGACACGAAACTGAATGTGGACCCGCTGAAGGAGATGTTCTGGAACACAGCTGATGTCGGTGATCTTTCTAAAGAATCAGAAATAGTGATGTGGGTGAGGCTCATGTTCCGGAGACTTGTCTAAAGCAAATCTGGAAACCAAAAATGAAGGCCCTCGGCAAACGGCTCAAGCTCCCCTATTTGAGGGAATGCATTCCTGCGTTCAGGGTCCCTAATCCACAATCCCAAACTGCAAACAGCTCTGGAAGCCCAAACTTCTTAACTCATAGTAAGACATGTCCCAATTGCAAAAACCCTGTGTTATTATTTACACATTCATGTTGTGCTGCAGAAATTGTACCATGTTGGGCGCCTGGGTGGCTCAGTCATTAAGCATCTGCCTTCGGCTCAGGTCATGATCCCAGGGTCCTGGGATCAAGCCCCACATCGGGCTCCTGGCTCAGCGAGGAGTCTGCTTCTCCCTCTCCCTCTGCCTCTCCCACTGCTCATGCTCTCTCTAGCTCTGTGTCTCAAATGAATAAATAAAATCTTTTAAAAAAATAAAACACATCTGGGTCTTGGGCTCCAGGTAAGGAAGGATGGATCTTCATTATATCTAGGGGGTGAGAATTCTATTAGGAGGCCATGAAAATCGGTGGTAAGATCTATATGACTCCTCTTTCCCTCCTAATTCCAACAACCACACAGACATGAACACAACCTCAGCAGGAATCCCCTTTAAAACATCCCTGAAGCAGTCACAAGGGGCTGAGATCAGGGTGCTGGCCCAACCTTTAGGGCTCACATAAAATAAGCTGCTCTGGGGGTGCCTGGGGGGCTCAGTGAGTTAAGTGTCCAACTCTTGGTTTCAGCTCAGGTCATGATCTCAGGGTCATGAGATCAAGTCCACATTGGGCTCCGTGCTCAGCACGGAGTCTGCTTGAGATTCTCTCCCTCTGCTCCTCCCCCTGCTCTCACTCGCTCGCTCTCTCTCTAAAATAAATAAATGCTGTTCTTGCTATTAAGGATAATGCTATTTACTACAAGAATGGAGTTATCACTTATTCCAGGGAGGAACTGCGAGAGAATTTGAGATATGCTGATGTTGAGGTGCCTATTCATACCCTGGGGAGAGGACCTCCTAGAGCTCTAGGGAAGCACTTTTCAACCATCAGCTAAAATTTTAATAAAAGCTATAGTGATATCATTGTATAATTGGAAAAGGCTTTCTTGAATTAGTGATACCACTTATTATCCTTGCTAGTGTTAGCACTTCTGAAGACACAAGGTAACAGAAAGAAATGCCAGGCCATCACCTTTTAGGTAAGAGAACACACGCGGACCGAGGCACATACTTCTGCCCACATACCTGCAGTAAGACACTGACCGGGTCTGCTCACACTTAAAGGAACTGGTTGTATCTGGCCTGCCCAATGCTAAGTAAGCACAATAAAAATGCAAATAAAGGCAAATTATTTAACTGTGAAATAAACACATCTCAAGCTGACCACCTTTCCCTCCCCACCTCCCCGGGGGACCCCCTGAGTAGCCTGTAGAAACAGAAACCCCTGCTCCCTGCTTTCTGCACATTCTTCATTCGGACCAGAAAGCCACAAGAGCTGATCTGCTTGCTGTTTGTCAGACGTCCCATATTAAAAACATACCCTATGTACACTGAGAAGCACTGCACCTAAACCCTGAACAGTCAGCTGAAAGCAAAACAGCACATTCTGACTGTGGGTTAATTTCTCCCCTCCCAGTTAGGCCACATCTAAGGATTCCTGAAGTCCTTGAAAACCTGCAACAATTCATGGTCAAGCCTCTGGACACATGTGTGTTTGGGGAGCAGTGAGGAAGTCTCTCGGCCTGACACCAGTTTCCACATGTGGACAGCCCCTGAGACACAGCCAGAGACTCGGGCCAGGGAGGTGGGGGGAGAGCTACCCAAGCACATTCCAGAAACAGCAGAAGCAGGTGGAGCAGGCTGCTAGTTGGCCAAATCCCCAGGACACTAAGATTTTGATTGGTTAAGGGCAAAGTTCCTAATAGACACCTGGTTTAGTCCTGCTGTATTTTAGGTGTTATACAAGGCTGTGTGGTTTGGGGTAAATGCTATGGAAAAGATGAAGACATTTTCTATAAAAAATATCTTCTATATAATTTAGAAGATATTTTCTGGAAGTTTCTACCTCAATGTGAAGTTCCCAATTGCGAATCCTCGGAGTATATTTTAATCCCCAACAGAGGGTGAGGGGAGGGAGGGGGAGTGGTAGGGGATGCAGCAGATGGAACAAGACGGAAAAAACCTTAGTTTACTAAGTTCCCTCCCTGGCAGGCCTCACCAGGGGTCCAGACACCCGGGCCAGAGAGCTGGAAGGTTAGACCCTGCTGGACAGACACAGGTCCCTCTGCAGAATGACCGAGCTGGGCTCCATGAGCTGGACCCCGCACTGTGCGCCAGGGTAAGAACCCTGGAGATGCTAACAGAGATCAGCCCCCACGCGCACAGGTGGCCCGAGCCAAGAGACACCTCCCACCAGGGCAGGTCGCCTTTCCCCTTTACGCCTCCGAGGGTCGAGGGTCGAGGGTCGAGCGCGGACGCGCGCCGGGGGTCCAGGGCCGCTGCCAGGGGAGCAGACGCACGTGAGATCTGACCCGGCTCAGCGCTTAGTGCCCCGGGTGCGAGCCCCTTACCCTTGCAAGGCTGCATCGCTCGCCAGTGTGGCGGGGACAACTCCAGGCCAGCCCCGGCCGCGCACAGCCGAAGCCGCTCCACCGCGGGACGCTCCGCACCTTCTCGCAGGACTCGCGGCGCCCCCGGCACCAACAGCCCGGGAAGGGCTCACGCCGCCCCCCGCCCGGGGCTCCTGGCACGCCCGGCCCCGCCCGCTGCAGGCCCGCATCGCCCCCACACAGCCGGCCACCCTCGGGGACCCCGCCCCCGAGCCCTAGCCTCGCCACCGACCCACGCCGGGCCTTGCCCGCGCAGCCCGCGACCCCGGCGCCGCAGGGCCCAGCGGAAGCTCGCGCGGCGTGTCGGCGGCGGGGGCTGGGCCGAGGGGCCGAGGGGCCGGGGGGCCGGGGGGCCGGGGGTCCGGGGGACCGGGGGACCGGGGGGCCCGGGGGGCCGGGGGCCCGGGGGGCCGGGGGCGCCGGGGGGCCGGGGGGCCGAGGGGCCCGGGGGGCCGGGGGGGCCCGGGGGGCCCGGGGGGGCCGGGGGCCCGGGGGGGCCGAGGGGCCCGGGGGGCCGGGGGGCCGGGGGGCCGAGGGGCCCGGGGGGCCGGGGGGGCCGAGGGGCCGAGGGGGCCGGGGGTCCGGGGGGCCCGGGGGGGCCGGGGGGGCCGGGGGCGCCGGGGGGCCGGGGGGCCGAGGGGCCCGGGGGCCGGGGGGGCCCGGGGGCCGGGGGCCGGGGGCCCGGGGGGGCCGAGGGGCCCGGGGGGCCGGGGGGCCGGGGGGCCGGGGGGCCGAGGGGCCCGGGGGGCCCGGGGGGCCGGGGGGCCGGGGGGGCCGGGGGGCCCGGGTGGCCGGGGGGGCCGGGGGGGCCGGGGGGGCCGGGGGCGCCGCGGGGCCGCGGGGCCCGGGGGGACGGGGGGCCCGGGGGGCCGGGGGGGCCGAGGGGGCCGGGGGGCCCGGGGGGCCGGGGGGCCGGGGGGCCCGGGGGGCCGGGGGGGCCGAGGGGCCGGGGGGGCCGGGGGGCCGGGGGGCCGGGGGCGCCGGGGGGCCGGGGGGCCGGGGGGGCCCGGGGGGCCGGGGGGGCCGGGGGCCCGGGGGGGCCGAGGGGCCCGGGGGGCCGGGGGGCCGGGGGGCCGAGGGGCCCGGGGGGCCGGGGGGGCCGAGGGGCCGAGGGGGCCGGGGGTCCGGGGGGCCCGGGGGGGCCGGGGGGGCCGGGGGCGCCGGGGGGCCGGGGGGCCCGGGGGGCCGGGGGGGCCCGGGGGGCCCGGGGGGGCCGGGGGGCCGGGGGCCGGGGGCCCGGGGGGGCCGAGGGGCCCGGGGGGCCGGGGGGCCGGGGGGCCGAGGGGCCCGGGGGGCCGGGGGGGCCGAGGGGCCGAGGGGGCCGGGGGTCCGGGGGGCCCGGGGGGGCCGGGGGGGCCGGGGGCGCCGGGGGGCCGGGGGGCCGAGGGGCCCGGGGGGCCGGGGGGGCCCGGGGGGCCCGGGGGGGCCGGGGGCCGGGGGCCCGGGGGGGCCGGGGGGGCCGGGGGGGCCGAGGGGGCCGAGGGGCCCGGGGGGCCGGGGGGCCGGGGGGCCGGGGGGCCGAGGGGCCCGGGGGGCCCGGGGGGCCGGGGGGCCGGGGGGGCCGGGGGGCCCGGGGGGCCGGGGGGGCCGGGGGGGCCGGGGGGGCCGGGGGCGCCGCGGGGCCGCGGGGCCCGGGGGGACGGGGGGCCCGGGGGGCCGGGGGGGCCGAGGGGGCCGGGGGGCCCGGGGGGCCGGGGGGCCGGGGGGCCCGGGGGGCCGGGGGGGCCGGGGGGCCGGGGGGCCGGGGGCCCGGGGGGCCGGGGGGCCGGGGGGCCGGGGGGCCGGGGCCCCGCGAGCACCGTCCGCCGGCTCTGAGCCAGCGCAGACCTCAGTCGGGACGCCTGCGGTCGGGAAGGAGTCTTCCCAGACCCCGGGCAGTGAGGCAGCGGGAGGGGGCCCTCAGCCCGAATTTCCTTCCTGCGCGGGGCGCGCAGGCGGGTCTGGCGCCGAGGCTCTCGGTAGGAAAACGGCACTAAATGCTCTTCCGCGGGTTGCGGAGCGGAATGTGGAAGTGCGGCTGATAGGAAAGCACGAATTTCTTGCTTCAAGAAAGCAAAGCAAGCGAGCGGATCGTTTTCTCCTGCCTTTCGGAACCGTCAGCAAAGGGGGTGCGGGCCGGAACCCCGGCTGGAAAGCCCGCGGGTGCGAAGCCCCTTGTCTGGGTCTCTGCCTGGGCCGGTATCAACGTCATGCGGGGAACGCGCCACACCACGGGCCAGGGCGGGCTCTTCGGACCTGGAGATGCTAAATCCAGACCACCCACTGTAGCCTCCCCGTCCTGGCTGCCTGACTCCTGAATCCTCTGCAGTGGTCCGGGTCTCCAGCCGAAACCGTGGCTTGTGTTGAGGGGTACCGGCTGCGGATCTTTGCTCTGGGCCGAAGCTGGGTGAGACTGACACCCGGTGGGTGGGGAAATCAGCCCTCACGGACTCGAGTTTCTCCTGAAGCCAGGGCACGTCCACTGCCTGGGGCTGGGGCTGGGGCTGGGACGAGTCCCGCATCCTTCCCTTTAGGCCGCGTCTGAAGGGAAGGGAAGGGTGGTGAGCCCACCCGCAATCAATGTGAAGGCAGGAGAGAGACTGGGGTTCTTACACATTCGCGAGGAAAATGGAAATGAAACCAGATTACAAGACCCTCAGCGCTTTATGGTTGTCCTTAATTAAAGTATTAATTAAAAAAGTATTAATTCCTTGTTTTCCCGTAATAATCAGCAGTAAAACCCTTCTAGGGAAAGACCTTGCGAGGAGGGAGTTTTTGGTTGTCAGCATGAGTCGGGGAGGTTTAGCTGAGCCGGGAGGCCTCTAGGACCACAGCTGAGAAACAGACGGACTCCATCCAGGACGGTCCACGAGAAACGGGCAGGTGCGGTCTTACAGGGTGGGTGCAGGTAACAGGTGGTGAACAGCGGGGAAGGAGTTCGTTGATGCAAAATGAACACACTTTAAGATTTTAAAGAGACAGAAAAAGTTTTATTGGAGCCCAAGTGAGGCCAGCGGCCGGGGACGTACAATCTTCCCAGAGAAGGGAGTGCTGTGGGGAAGGAACTTTTGGCGCTTTTTACATAAAGAGTTCTAAATCATCATGAGGAAGGACATTCCAGAAAGTTACAGACTTACGTTTTCAGTATGTGCAGGGCTGCATGGCTTTAATCTTATGGGAACCAGGGAGGTTTTTTCCTTTTATGTCTGGAATGGACTTTTTGGGTCATTTTTTTTAGTGATGCACATGTACAATGTGTGCTTGGAGCAGAAATACAGCCCATGACACACTGACCGTCACATACTGGAAAGCACCTCAGAGAAAACTTGAGGGCAACAACCTCTTTTGGTAATGAGAAATTTGCTAGAAAGCAGCCTGCTCCTCTGTGGGCCACACGCACACGGGATGCGCGGTTCCCCAGTTCCGGCTACTGCCCAGGCTCCTCCCCTTGTTGGGAGCCCTTTCCCCCTCGCAGGGGGGGCCAGCCCAGTGACCAAGCTCACTCTCCCCTGGCTGTAGGAGGCAGGTGTGTGAGCCATAGCTTCTCCTCGTGAGGGGCCCCTCTGCCCACAGATCAGGGGGCGCAGCAGAGAAGCGAGGACTGCAGGCTGACTCTGCCTCAGTGTCCTCAATTATAAATTTGACAAAGGCACCTGCCTCCCAGGACTAAGTAAATCCCAAGTGCTTCGAGTAATGCCTTAAGCCCCCAGGGAATGTTAGACTTTGTTGTTACTGTTCCTCCCGCCCTACTTTGCTCTCCCAGACGATAGGTGGGTTGTCTGACAGACTCATTACCACTGAGGTATTAACGGCTATGATGAGTTAGCCAACCCGCTTCCTGCCACGTTTGGATTTCAGTTGGGGAATTCTCAGTCCTTGTCAGGATGCTTTTAGACAGATCCTTAAAAGGATTAAGTGAATTTGGTTTAAGACACTCCTCATCTCGGGGCGTCTGGGTGGCTCAGTCGTTAAGCGTCTGCCTTCGGCCCAGGTCATGATCCCGGGGTCCTGGTATCGAGCCCCGCATTGGGCTCCCTGCTCCACGGGAAGCCTGCTTCTCCCTCTCCCACTCCCCCTATTTGCGTTCCCTCTCTCGCTGTGTCTCTCTGTCAAATAAATAAAATCTTTAAAAAAAAAAAAAAAAAAAAAACCACTCCTCATCTCACCCATTAGGAGGAAAGGGGCAGGAGAGTGAAGGAAGTTCATTCTTGGCTCAGACACGCAGTTTCCCACACTGTCTCCCATTTGCCAGGCATGTCTCCAAGCCAGTGTCCAGAGGCAGGAAAGGGGGCCCTCTCCTCTTGCACCCTCACTTCCCATTGGCCAAGTGCCCATCCCTAAACCCAGCGCTGGCAAGAATGGAGCTGCCTTGACGCCTTGGCTTTGAGGAGGGACACATGCTGCCCCAATTGGATTCTGGTTAGCAAGGAAGAAGGTAGGGGACCCCCCCCCCTCCACTTGCTGTAATGCCTCAGCCCCAAGGAATGCATCAGCAACATCAGAGCTACAGTCCTGGCGGACCATCCCAGACCTGCCAGTAGCAGCTCAGAACCTCAGCAGCTTCATCCGTAACATGGGGTTGTTGTGAGGAATACATGAGGTTGTCCGTGGAACGTACAATCTGCATTGTCAAGCCTCAGTCAGTGGTGAATGTCAACTATTATGATTATTACTTCCTTTTTTCCCCAAAGGTCTTCCTCTAGTTGAACTTAGTGTAAATATTTAAGTGCTTAACGTAAATATTAATGTTTTTGGTATAGTGTGCTGTCTCAGACCCTAAGGATTTCAGATAAGGAATTGCAGACCTGTGTATATTTTTCAGAAATGCTATAAATATAAATAAGATGAAATTTTATTTCTTTAATCTTTGTATGAGAGCTATTTATACATTTTTCCCCCATTTTTCTTAAGACTCTTTATTGTGGTAAGACACAACAGAGGGGTGTCTGGGTGGCTCAGTCGTTAAGCGTCTGCCTTTGGCTCAGGTCATAATCCCAGGGTCCTGGGATCGAGCCCCACATCGGGCTCCCTGCTCAGCACGAAGCCTGCTTCTCCCTCTCGCACTCCCCCTGCTTGTGTTCCCTCTCTTGCTGTCTCTGTCAAATAAAATCTTAAAAAAAAAATACACATAACAGAAACTTTACCATCTTAACCATTTTAGCATCCAGTTCAGTGGTATTAAAACACATTGCTATGTGGCTGTCACCATCATCTGTCCCCGTAATTACTTCCATCTTGTAAAACTAAACCTCTATGCCCACTGAACACTAACTGCATTCCCCACTCCCCCCAGGTCCTCGCACGACCATTACTGTCTGTCTCTATGATGGTGACTTCTCTAAGCACCTCATGTAAGTGGAATCCTACAGGATTTGTGTTTTTGTGACTGGCTTATTTCACTTAACATGTCCATATCCTTGCCATACTTGGATTTTTTGTAGTTTTTCAAAAAATTTTTTCAATCTTTATCACGAATATTTAGCAGAAAATATTCCAAATGACCTGAGATCATTTCATCTAAGTACAAGTTTCACATTGTGTATGTCTGTGTGTTTAAACTCTTCCCCCAAGGTGGGGCTCAAACTCACGACCCTGAGATTAAGAGTCACATGCTCTTCCAACTAAGCCAGCCAGGCTTTTTTCTAAATAGTAGCCTCTTTGCTTTTTTCTAAATAGTAGCCACCCTAATGGGCGTGAGGTGGTATCTCACTGTGGCTTTGATTTGCATTTCCCTGATAAGTGATAAGCATCCTTTCATGTGATTATTGGCCCTCTGTATATCAACTTTGGAGAGATTTCTATTCAAGTCCTTTGCCTGTTTTTAAATTGGGTTGTTCATTTGTTGTTGTTGTTGACTTGTAGGCATTCTTTGTATATTTTCAATATTGATTAGTTATTAGATATATGATTTGCAGATATTTTTGCCCATTCTGTGGGTTGCTTTTTTACTGTATGGATAGTATTTTTGTGCAACATTTATAATTTTTCATGAAATCTTTTTGTGTGTGTGCCTTTTGTGTCAGATCTGAGAAATCATTGCCAAATCCAACATCCTAAATCTTTGACCTATATTTTCTCTTAAGAATTTTATAGTGGTTAAGTCTTACATTTAGGGCTTTGATCCATTTTCAGTTACATTCTGTATATGGTGTGAGGTAAGGGTCCAATGTCAGTACATGGCATGAGGTAAGGGCCCAATGTCATTCTTCTGTGTGTGGACATCCCATTTCCCCTGCACCATCTGTTGAGAAGATTCCTTTCCCTGTTGAATGATCTTGGCACCCTTGTCAAGAGTCATTTAACCACATATGCAAGGGTTTATTTCTGGGCTCCTGATTCCATTCTGTTAGCCGATCAGTCTGCTTCTCAGCCAGAACCACAGTGTTTGATTACTGTAGTTTTCTGGTTAGTTCTGAAATCGAGAAGTGTAACTCCTCCAGCGTTTTCTTTCTTTTTCAAAATTGTTTTGGCTTATTCAGGGTTGAGATTCCATATGAGTTTTACGAAGGACTTTCCTATTTCTGTAAAAACATCATTGGGATTTTGATAGGCATTGCATTGAATCTGTACATCATTTTGGGTAATACTGACATTTTAACAATATTAAGTCTTCCCATCGATGAGCACAGGATGTGTTTCCATTTATTAATTTCTTTGAACAGTGTTTTGTAGTTTTCATTGTACAAATCTTCACCTCCTTGATTAATTCCTCAGTATCTTATTCTTTTTAATGCTACTGTAAGTGAAGTTATTGTGTAACTTCCTTTTCAGATCATTGTGTAGAGAAATGCAACTGATTTTGTCTTGACTTTGAATCCTGCTACTTTGCAGAATTCATTAATCAGATCTAACAGTTTTTTGTGGGGTCTTTAGGATTTTCTACATAGAAGATCAAATCATCTGCAAACAGATATAATATTACTTGTTCATTTCCAATTTGAAGGCCTTTTCTTTTTCCTGCTTAATTGCTCTGGCTAGAACTTCCCATACTATGTTAAATAGAAGTGGTAAAAGCAGCCATCCTTGACTTGTTCCTGATCTTCCAGGAAGAGCTTTCTTTCACCATTGTCTGCTGTGTTTTTTCACATACTGCTTTTGTTAAGGTAGTTTCCTTCTATTCCTATTTTGTTGAGTGTTTTTTTTTTTTCATGAAAGGGTGTTGAATTTTGTCAAATGCTTTTCCTGCATCAAGGTGATTTTTTTTCCCATTTTGATGTGGTATATCACATTTATCAATTTTTGTGTTGAATCATCCTTGCATTCCAAAAAAAAAAAAAAAATGCCTCTTGGTCATGGTGTATAATTGCTTTAATATGCTGAATTTTTTGCTAGTATTTTATTGAAGATTTCTAGATCAATGATCATAAGGGATCTTGGTCTGTAATTTTGGTGACATAGTCTTGGCAGGTTTAGTCTCGCTAGGAATTTGTCCATTTCATCTAGGTTATCCAATTGTTGGTGTACAAATGCTCACAGTACTCTTATAATCCATTTTATTTCTGTAGAATTGATAATTTCTCCATTTTCATTTCTGATTTCAGTAATTTCAATGTTCATCTAAAGTTTTGCTGATTTTGTTCATCATTTTGAAGAACTAACATTTTAGTTTATTGATATTCTCTACTGATTTCCTGTTCTCGACTTCCTCTGTCACAGTTCTAATCTTTATTTCCTTCCTTCTGCTAGTTTTGGGTTAGGGTTAGTTCTTCTGCATTTCCTTAAAGTTAGGTTGTTGCTTTGAGATCTTCTTGGTTTTTTAATGTAAGCATTTGTAACTATAAATGTCCCTTTAGCACTGCTTTTGCTGCATCCTGTAAGTTTTGATGTGCTGTTTTCATTTTCATTCATCTCTAAGTATTTTCTAATCTCCCTGTGATTTCTTTTTTGACCTATTGGTTATTTAAGAGTGTGTTGATTTAACTTCCACAAACTTGTGAATTTTCCAATTTTGTTACTGATTTCAAATTTCATACCACTGTGGTCCAAGATTGTAGAACAGCTGTTTTTAAATTGAGACTTAATTTGTGGCATAACATATGATCTATCCTGGAAAACGTCCCACGTGCACTTGAGAGCACTGTGTGTGCTCTTGCTGGGTAGAGTGTCCTGATGTGTTAGATTTAAAGTCCTCTCTTTCCCTACTTCTGTCTGGGTTTTGTATCCATTATTAGGAGAAGGAAATTCAAGTCTCCAAGTATTATTTTAAAACTCTTTCTCCCTTCAGTTGTGTCAAATTTTGCTTCATATATTTCAATGGCCTGTCATTAGACAAGTAAATGTTTGTAACTATGTATCTTGTTTTATGGAAATTTTTATTAATATACAGTGCCCTCCCCTATCTCTTGTAATTTTTTAAAATTTAAACTCATTTTTGTCTGGTATTATTGTAGCCACTCCTGCTATCATTGGTTATTATTTGCAGCGAACATCTTTTTACATCCTCTCACCTTTCAATCTACTTATGTCTTTGGATCTAGAGTCTCTTGAAGACAGCATGTAGTTGGAAGATGGTTTTTATCCATTCTGCCAATCTCTGTCATTTCCCTGGAGAGTTTAATCCATTTATATTTAAGGTAATTACAGATAAGGGAGGACTTCTGTCACTTTGCTATTTGTTATGTGCCTTACAGCTTCTTTTTGTCACTCATTTCCTGCATTACCCTTTTGTGGGTTTTTTGTTTTTTGGTACTGAAACATTTAAACTTTCTCATTTCCTTTTGTGTATATTCTATAGCTATTTTCTTTGTGGTTACCGTGGGGATTACATTTAACATCCTGAAACTGTAACACTCTAATCTGAACTTATACCAGCTTAATTTCAATAACACACAAAAACTCTGCTCAACATCTCTGTCCCCAGCCCTTTTAGTTGTTGATGCCACAAAACATAAATTAACATTTCTGTTAAATGCGCTCTCTTAAATTATGTAGAAAACAAAATGTGGAGTTATAAATTGTTGTTACTAGTTTTTATAATTGGCCATTTATTTTTCTTTACTGAGATCTTCATTTCTCCACACAGCTTCAAGTTACTGTCTACTGTCCTTCATTTCACCCTGCAGGACTCCTTCAAATATTTCTTGAAGGGCAGGTCTAGTGGTGAAGCACTCCCTCAGCTTTTATTTACTAATGTCTTAATTTCTCCCTCACTTCTGAAGGACATTTTGCTGAATATAGAATTCTTGGTTGAACGTTTTTCTTTTAGCACTTTGCATATATCAACCCACTGCCTCCTGACCTCCCGTTTCTGATGGAAATCTATTAACCTTACTTGGGATAGCCTTGTATGTAATTACCTCTCTCTTGCTGCTTCAAGATTATTTGGCTTTTGTGTTTCTTAGTGTGGGTCTCTGAGTTCATCTTAACTTGGAGTTCATTGAGCTTCCTGGATGTTTCCTCAAACTTGGGAAACTTTCAGCCATTATTTCTTCAAATACTTGTCTACCTCTTTCTCTCTCTTCTCCTTCTGGGACCCCCACAATGCATAGGTTTCTCTGCTTGGTGGAATCCCACAGGTCCCTTAGGTGCCATTAACTTTTATTCTTTTTTTTTCCTTTCTGTTCCTCAAACTCAACTTCCTTTGTCTGATGTTACAATCCACTGTTTCTTTCTTGTGCTTAAAACCTGCCTCTGAATTCCTCTAGTGAGTATTTCATTTCCATTATTGTACTTTCCAGCTTCAGAATTTCTTCAGTTTCTTTTTGCTTTCTCTTTTTGGATGGTTCCATTTTGTTCTCACATTGTTTTGTTGATTTCCTCCACATCTTTTGTCAGCTGAGGGTCAAGACAGTTGCTTTGAAGTCTTTACCTAGTAGATCTGCCATCAGGTCTTTTTCAGGGACAGTTTTTTGTTTTTTTTTTTTAACGGGCACACTTTCCTGTAAGAGGAGGGATGTTGTGACCCAGGGATCAGGGTAGACTCCAGACCCAACTTGTTACCACAGATCTTGGGGAGACGGGGGTGTCTAGACATTGCTGTGCATCAGAACATTTTCAACATTTCATTACAGAAAAGGGTTAGAAGGCTCCAGGGTGTTTCTACCCAAAAAAGTACAGCTTTTTAACAGTATAGGACATGATCTTCAAATCCTGCCTCTTCCCTAATCTTGATGGCTCTGAGACCTCTTGAAATGGAGCCAAAACTACAGGACAAATGTCAGTGGCAATGGCCAGATGGCCCTGTTATGAATGTTGTGCCTTAAGACCTCACAGCCTGGGACACCTGGGATGGAGTCCCACATCAGGCTCCTGCTCCGCGTGGAGTCTGCTTCTCCCTCTCCCTCTCCCTCCCGCTCCCCCGCCCCCGCTCCTTTCTTTCTCTCAAATATATTTTTTTTGAAGCACTCCTAGCCTAATGGCTTGTGAATCGGCACTCACACATACACGCACTTGCACACACGCAAACAGAACCACACACACAGGCATTCACACATGGGCACACTCACACATGCACACACACACTTTAGTCGACTGCTCTAAGGCTGTATGTGACACACTTCCAGGATCTGCTGGTTTCTATCAACAGAATTCAGGCAAGAACCTGCCCCAGATCTCCTGTCATTTCTCAGTGACATTTCTAATGATTCTTCCTCTGCTTTTCTCCTGGTAACTAAAATACATGCAATTATTCTTGGCTTTGTGACCCAAGATTAACAAACTCTAATAAAACCTGCTTTGAAGACCCAGTAGCTGAGCATGGGAGGATGAGGGCAACTGACTCCTCACAAACCTTCTTAATCCTGTAATGATGTGTGATGCAGGAACGCAGCCCATGTACCAATTTGCACGTCTCAGGCCTAACCAGGAACCAACATCAGGAATTCAAAACAGAACCCACAAGGAAGGTCCAGCCCACACAACATGGATACCACCATCCTGTCAGTCACTCTGGTGTGCTGGCTCGTTTCTACAGAGCCTGCATCAAGCACCAGTGTGCGAACTGCCTGCATACAGAATGGTGGCACAGAAGGGAATTTTATGTTTGGGGCTGAGTCAAGAGGGTTTACTGGGCATCCGAGAGTTTCTTGTACACATGTTCTTCCCAGAACAGCATACTTTAAAAGGTGGTGCCTAATCTCATGGTTCATGTTGAGAGGTGCTATCATTAGTGAATTTGAAAATACACAGAAAATGGTGTTACAGGGACATGCATTCTAGAATACTTGGAAGTGTTATCCAGATCTAAACTAAATATTGCAGGCAACAATGTTTTGTTCTGCCTTCAGTTGCTGAAAACCTACTTTAAAAAACAGATGGACGCCTGGGTGGCTCAGTCAGTGAACGTCTGCCTTTGGCCCAGTCCTGCATCAGGCTCCCTGCTCAGTGGGGAGTCTGCTCCTCCCTCTGCCTCTGCCCCTTCCTCACTCGTTATTTTTCTCTCAGATAGATAAATGAAAACTTTTTAAAAAATTGGATGGAAACTGGACTGCTCCCCTCTGTAGCAGATACTCTGGGTTTGATCTCAGTGGCATCTGTGCAATGACTGGGTGTCACCTCAGCTTATTGGGTGTGACGCGGGCCATGTCCATCTTCCAGTGCAGATTGCTCCGAGCTAGAGAGGAAGTAGGTTTCCTAACACCGTCTGGCACCCATGTGCACCACAGACAGGAGCAGAGTGAGACACTGGAGGCTGTGAGCCACACATCTGCCATGTGGTCATCCTAGCAGGTGCCTGGGCGGCAGAACTTGGGCTTTTCCAGGGAAAGAAGCTGCATGGAGGCTGCTGCTTTTAAGTTTCATGGGACAGGTCCAGGGGAAGCGGGTGCACCCATGCCCGAGGGGAGCAGTGGTGTCTCCATTTGTCCTCTGTGCCTCGCAGACAGAAAATCACTCCTGACATCTTGATTTTGGGCAGCAAACAGGCCTATTTGTACGGTTCCTGTTCTAAGAGGGGAAAAGCAAGATCCCAGCACTTGTCTCACCCAGATTCAAAGTTCCAGAAACCAAGGCTCAGTGGCAGGAAGGCCATCAAGGCTCCTGCACAAACCACACAGAACTGGCAGGGGGCGGGGGACTGGAAAGGGAGGCTGCCCTGAGATGCAGAAAAGCTGGAACTGTGCAAGTCTGCTAGTCCTGGCCAGTCCGGGGCTGACCAGGACTGCTGCAGAGGAGGGGCTCCTCCCAGTGGAAGTGGCAAAGACCCAGCTCTCCTTCATCACGAACACTACTCAGAGGGTGAGTGTGTGAGTGTTGGTTTCAGCCTGGCAAGACACAGAAAACACCCAGCAAGCACCTGAAAGACAAGTTGTATCTGAGCATGTGGAGGCCTAAGGAACACGATGAGAACTGCTGGGAACTGGGAAAGGAAACAGACAGGTTTTCTGTGCAACACTTTATGGGCCTCTTCCTCTCCTCCAGGCTGCCTCTGTGGGAGGCCTGCGTGCTGTCTCCTCCTGGGGGCCTTGCCCAGGTGAGCCTGTGGCCACTGCCAAACCATCCCCACGCAGGAGGTTACCGAGGTCTGCGCCTGACCATCATTTTAAGCTTCACGTCTTGGCATGAAAACAACTTGTCAGTATTCAGCTTCCCCTTCAGGTTTTGTTCAAGGCTAGAGCTCTACGGTATTCAAATTAACACTAAAAAGCCACACAGGTGTGTGCTCACGTTCTCCAAGATAAAGGTGAGGCTGGAACACTCTGCTTCTGCTCTCACAACAGGATTTATTGTAGGATCCGGAGGAATGTTTGCAGCTGTAAGGCTCTGTGTTTACTGCTGGCACTTTGGGTTCTGACAGGCACATCTGACTTCCAATAGGGCGGACTCTGGTCTCCTATGATCTTGGCATGTCACAAGGACATGAAAACCCAGCCACTTCTGTGGGGCCACCCTGCAGAGGGCCACCTCAAACGGGTGCATGTGCACATCCCGCTCTGCACATCCTCATGAGGTAAGCTGTACACATCTCCACCAAACACGGAATGAACCGCTTCCCCCTGATCCCTTTGCTCATTCGGAAACCAAAATCCTCAGCAGCAATGAGAACGAATACGAAGCATGTACCAGGCTCTGGTAGGTGCTCACGCGAGTCAGGACACCCTCACTGGGACCCTGACAGCCGAAGGGCACTGAGAACGGAGGTCACTGGCAGCAGATCTGAGTACTGAACCCAGAGCTGCAGTCTCAGAAGCCAGATGGCTGGAGAGGGCTCCTCTGGAGCATGAGGTCGTCACGTCCACCTCCGTGGTCAGGATCTGAAGCTGCAACACGCCTGTGTTCTCCCCAAATACACGAAACCTGCATCTTGCCTTCTTTCTCTGTTTTACCTCAAAGCCCTGATTTTCTGCTACAATCCCAGTGACAAGTGGCTCTTTTGCAGTCATTTCTGGCCCTATGTTCTGTTTTGCCTCGGCTTTTCTCAGGCCCAGAGTGAAAAGGGGCCTCAGGCTGTGTCTTCGTTTGCTGCTCATGTTCCCCTGAGCCAGCAAGATCACTTGCCCCTGACCTCGGAGCAGACCCCAACAGTCCATTAGTCAGTCAATCAACACTTGCTACACTCTGGCCTGGGAAACCCTGTGTGAGAGGCAGGCAAGAGGCTGAGCAGTCCATGCAGTGAGATCTCAGCTAAGGGAATGTAGGGGGCCGCAACCAAGACTTGGGGGTTCACAGAAGGCTCCCCAAAGGAGGTGGCCCCAGGTGAGGCAGAAAGGGGAAGAGAATGTGCCAAGAAGAAGTCACAGCAACAGGTAAGGCACCAAGTAAGGCCGTAGCACCAGCATCACCATCAGGGTCCCGAGAGACGCTGCCTGGGAGGCTGCTGCAGATCGGGGGCTGGACTCACATCTGAAAGGGGAAAGGGGTGAGCGTGAAAGGTGAATGATTAACAAGGACCCTTTGACTCGAAGAGAAGGAACATCCCAAGGCAAACCTGCGGAGGCAAACCCACGGAGGCAAAGCTGACTCTGACCTGGGGGGGCCCAGGCTGGGAGTTCAGGGTTGGTAACGCTTTGGATCTGCCCTGTACTTGGCATCTGCGGCCAGTTCCAGCCGCGGATCGCTGCTACTGTGGAGAACCCTTGCTGCTTCAGGGACCCTGACTCTGCCTCCCCCATGAACCCTTCCCAGGGCGACCTTTTCTACTACCAAAGTCCTCTTTAACCACAGTTCCACAAACTGAACATCAGGCGCACCCCTGCACCACCTCCCACCCTCGGCAGCCACACCTGCCCCAGGCTCCGCTTAGGACACATGCTGCAACCACCAGACTTGCCACTGGAGCTGCCATGCTGTAGTTCAAGAATTAATATTTAAACTCCAATTACGGGAATTTACACGGATCCCTCTTAAACTTCATTTGGCTGGTTTGGGTTCTTTATCTCAACCTACTGAAAGTGAGTTCTATTTTGTCATATAACATATTGTTCCCAGGGCTACACTTCACGTAATTCCTCAATTAAGAAATGAACAAACCTTGGGACACGGGATTTCAGAACCAGGTCTCCACACCTCGACAGGCTGGTGCAGAATATAAGTAGGGCCTGGGGTGGCACAGGCTTTTCCCAATCCTTTGGGATTATATGGAGTAATTAGATCCTTTATTTCACTCTAGAGCTTATATGCATCATAGATTTAACTGTGGAGTTTTGAATATGCTTTATGACAAATACTTTTATAAAATTGCATGTATCACGAACTGCTGAACAGAGAAGATGCCATAAAAAAGCGGGAGATATTTTGAACTTTCCTGATAGGACCTAGAAGGCCAAGATGTCAGACGGAGACTTGAGAGAGGAAGTCCTTCTGAAGAACATGGAGTTTTCAAAGACTGAAACAAAGCTGTCTTCTGTGGCACTCCTCCCATGGAAGCCTGTAAAGTTTTCTTTCCTATTAGGTATTTCAGTTGCTTAATGTTTATTTTCAGTTCCACTCTCTGGCTACTCAGTCCGTTCTAGGATTTCCACTCAGTCATCAGCAGGTGGAAGGGCCAAAGCCCCCGTGTAGATTGCCAGCTTATTAAGAGAAAATAACCTGGACCAGCCAGAGGAAGGGGTGGGGAGGGCGCAGAGCCGCCAGGCCCACTCCCCAAAGCTCCACACACACACCAACCCAGAAACTCTCTGACTGCACGTCAAGTAACTGAAATTCCAAGTCCTTTTAACAAAATCAGAGGTGAGAGGCGCCTGGGGGGCTCGGTCGTTAGGCATCTGCCTTCGGCTCAGGTCATGATCCTGGGATCCTGGGATTGAGCCCCACGTCGGGCTCCCTCCTCAGCGGGGAGCCTGCTTCTCCCTCTGCCTCTGCTCTTGCTCTCGCGCTCTCTCTTGCTCTCCCTCTCTCAAATAAGTAAAATCTTAAAAAAAAAAGTGTGCACAGTGCTGCATGCCAGTGGCGAACACGGACACTGTTCATGTCTCTTTTCACCCCGTAAGCCTGGTCCACACCCCACACGGCACCTGGCAGGAAACGCAGAGGTGATCACGTGGTCGTGCTCCCTGTCCCTCGAGAACACAACTGGTACTGCAGCGTGAGGGCCTGTCCGTGGAGGATGCCAGCGGGATCGACCGCACCACAGGCTTCTCCTGACGGGAAGCTCTGTTCCTCCCGTCTCCACTATAGCCCTCGCCCCCCAACCCCTTGCTTACACTGTACTTACAGGAGACAAGCGGAGAGTATGGAGCACAGCTTCCCAGGTCTGGAAACACACCTTGTTCCAGCCATTTGTTGACTTTCAACAAACAGAGCCCCAAGCACAAGCGGGAAGAGAAGAAGAGCCAGCACCCCGGCCTCCCCCCCAGTCCCCAGTCCTGTGACGCAGTGATGGGCACAGTTTGTGCGACACAGTTCACGGCCTCACAATCCAGGAGCCTTGTCCCTGCTGCTCTGCATTTGGGGTCTGGGCACCTCCTGAGGTGTGGAAGGGCCAAAGCCCCCGTGTAGATTGCCAGCTTATTAAGAGAAAATAACCTGGACCAGCCAGAGGAAGGGGTGGGGAGGGCGCAGAGCCGCCAGGCCCACTCCCCAAAGCTCCACACACACACCAACCCAGAAACTCTCTGACAGCCCCACATTGGGCTCCCTGCTAAGGGAACAGGAAGCAGGCTGCTTGGCGCTACAGGGTCCCGTATTAGTCATGTTTCTTATGTTCTGTGTTTACGATGTTTTAACATCTTGGGGGCCTTGTTGGCCTGGGAGAGGCTACCCCTCCCAGGGCTAACTCCTAAAGACAGCAAATAGTTGCCCTGTGAGCTCACCTTTTATGAGCAAACCCAGAACCCACACTCCAACTGCCTCCTTTACCTGGTTCTTACACACCAGCGAGCACTTCCTCTGCTCCCTGTCCCCCAGAGCCTACTGAAATTGCACTACCCAGCCCATTCATTCCTGCAGAAGCCACACCTTCTCTGCCTCCTGACCGAGCCTGGTGCCTCCCTGAGTGGCCCTGTGCAGCGAGGCATGTCTCTGCCTCCCGGGAACACTGAAGAGCAAATGCTCCTTTCCGGGCAGCCGTCTCAAGGTCTGTCACCTACCACACCTGATTAGAACCAACCACACGTATTCTCAGACAGGTACAGCCTTCCTCTGGACATTTCTTCTCTGGTCAGAAGAGGCGCTTCGTCAGCAAGTGCACTCCCAAGTGAAATGCTCCATACCCACGGCTACCTGTGCCTTCCGGGACAGATGGGATCACGCAAATGCCACGCAGACACCAACGCACCCAGCGCTTCTGACCTGTGATGTGTCCCTTCAACGGGGGCCACTTTGCTGGCAAAGGCAGCACTTCACGGTGCCACCTGCCTGCACACAAAGTGCACGGGGGCGTGCCCGCACGGCTAGGTGACAGCAATGCTTCCTTCCTGAGACTGTTTATAAAAGCACAAGTCATGCGCCCCCAAAAAGCCAAGCCACCAACTTCCTCGCTCCATCTCACGCGTGTCTGATCATGTAAGCTCTGTGGTACCATTTTCATCATCAGGACAGTGACAGTGCTTGGGAAAGGGAGGTACCCCACACCCAGAAGCATGTTTCTCTAGGTCAGACTTGATTAAGGGTTTATTTTATTTCTGACAGGCGCCATAGCTTCTTGCCCTGGGGAAAACTGGACTTGGGGCCATTGTTTAGTAGACCATAAGGATGGCGCTTCAGGCGTGAGCTGAAACCCGCGCAAACAAGACGAAGACGCTCTGCCTTCCTAACCAGGAGCCTGTGCGGCACAGGGCTGTCCACGTCCGAGAAGGGTGTGCAAGTGCCCGAGTCAGGAGGACCGACTGCTGCCATCAAGCAAAAGGCTTTCACATGCTTCCCACGACCACCTCCGTTCTCAGCCCAAGTTCCACGTCCACCAGTGTCCTTGGGCTGCACCGCACGCCTGGAGCCCAGGACCCACCCCCTCCCCGCCCCTTGGTCACCTCCCCCCTTCCTGCCTCCGCTGCTCGCTGCCCCCCGCTCTGCAGCTCGGGCTGCTGTCCGCACCCCAGGTGCCACCCAGGTCAGGGCCGGGGTTGCTGCTCGCCGCCCCCAACAGATGGTTCCTGGGGGAGAGGTCACTATCTGCACAGGGTGCCACCTTTCCCTCTCTCGTTTGCGTTGCCAGATCAGCTGTCAGCCGCGCCTCCTCGGGACTCACGGTCCTTCGCCCTTGCCCTTTCCTCCTCTTGTACTCCAAGATCTGTTTGTTGAGCGCCTCGTGGTCGATCCCACACAGACTTGAGCACGTGGCAGAGGCTGGGGTGCCTTGTGGCTCAGGAGCATCCAGGGCCCCGGGGCCCCTGGAGGGAGAAGAGGCATCCGGTGAAGCACAAAACAGCAGGACAGCGTGGGTCCTGGGCCAGCGCTCCCACTTCCCACCTCCACTTGCCTGTGGGCTGCCCGAGTCCAGGGGAAGCTGGGAGTACGGCACAGGGCTCCCCGGCCCAGCCACTCTGCTGATGCTCCTGGAGCCTGCGCGTGGTGCAGGCCAGCACGGTCCCCGCACAGCCCCTTCCACCAGCTGTGTTTTCCATCTTTTTCCCCAGTTAAACATGGCTAGTGTGCTAGGCCAGTTTCACAGAATTACAGCTGGGGGCTTTTAGATCTATCACTCAGGTTACTTAAGAAACCAAAGGAAAAGATCAGAACTGGTGCAACCCTTTCAGAACCCAAATTCGGCAACTCATGCCTCTAAATCCTTTTCTGCTCAGCTCTGGAAGGTCTCACACCCATGGGCTGGGCTCCCCGTGGCTTGGGGCCTTTGCTCTAGCTCCGCAGGCAGGATGGTGACTGTGGGCCCTGCCAGAGGCCCCGACAGTACCCTGGACACTGAGGCACCCGTCTAAGGAACAGAGGCTGAGCGCCTGCTGGAGCTCTTCCCTTGCCTGCGATGGGGCCTCCACGTACACCCCTCGAGTCCTCATGTCTCTCTCAGACAGTGACAGCCTGATTGAAAACTGCAACGCTGCCCCTACCCTCCCACCCTCCCACCTCCTGATCGGCCAACCAGACCTTCCTGATCTACAATCATCTGTGGCTCCCTGTTGGCCTTGCCCAGCAAAATGCGAGCTCCAAAGACCCCATTGTCTGTTCTGTTCACGTAAGAATCCTAGCTGCTAGAACAGGGATATAGTACGCACTCAAGAAAATTGTGCTGAGTGGATAAAGAGGGTGAGGGAGAGACACCCGTCCTCCCTTGATGAGTCACTGTAGCCTAGACTTCTGGGACGACCACAGGGGCCTTCCCAGTGGCCTTGCTGAGCTGCTGGAGCTGCTGCAGGCTGCCACTGGGACCGGCCACAGGCCACCGCCAGGCTGGGCCCCCGGGCACAATGCCAGGCCTGGCCTGTACACCTAGCTGAGGGTGCAGGACTGTGCAGCTGCCATAGCAACCGGCAATTCCACACCTGGACATCTGCCCAAAGAATCAAAATCACGTCCCCACATACCTGACGTCGTCTTGCACACAGTCTTCTTTTTCATCTGGGGGTCCAAAATCGGCAATGGCCAGTAACCGATCAACCTGAGAAGGACAGACGGGAGGGTAACCTGATAAGCCACACCTCCACCACCGGCATCAGAGCCTGGCTCAAGTGAGCCCGTGTGAAGCCTCGTGGTGCTGGCTCAGATACAGGCCTTCCGACTGCCCAGCCCAGCCCTCTGATGACACCTCCCAGTGAGGACGCTTTCAAACATCTGCTGCTTACAGTCACGTGTCCTCTGATAACCAACTTTTTTAAAAGTACACTTAAAACTTGTAAATGTCAAACTTACGAAGAAACCAGGTAAACGTTAGTTCAAGTAAGTAATTCCTAATGAAATGTAAAATACTTCAATTTTGCCACAGAATTCGTGTTTGGAGAAAGAAAGCCTCCTGGCCTAGCGATAAAGTCACAGTCTGGAGTCCAGCATGTGAATCCAGTTGCACAGTGGCCGAGGGGCCTAACCTGGAAACGAAAGCTCTCCTCGTGGGGGCACCACACAGAGCCCTGCTCCCTGGACACTGAGGGCGGCTCACACCTTCACCCCCCTACCTGCATACCCAGGACATGCACCCGAGACCCCACCCTGCTGTGGGGCGAGCCCAGGAGAGCCAGGGCTAGTCCTTCCCCCACAGCACAAAGCACCATCACAAACCAATGGCATGCCAATAAAACCCACAAATGTAAAAAGCAGCAGGACCAGGAGAAAAACCAGTCTGCAGAGAACAGAAACAGGACAGATGATGCCACAAAATGAGAACTGGACGTCTCCCAGGTTAGCCTGGAGAACACATGTGCTCGCACCTGCCAAGGGACCTGTGCCGGACACACGACCATTCTGCACAATTCCACACTAAGCAAACCTCGCGAGAATGGGCAAAAGACTTGAACAGACCTCACAAAACAAAGAACGGCCAACGGGCACGTGGGAAGATGCTCACAAACATCAGTCGTCAAGCAAATGCACGTGTGAGCACCAGAAGGGCCACCACAAGCACAGCAGGACCGCTGACGTCAGGCGGGAGCTCCCAGCGGTCCAGACCGTCCCATGTGACCAGCAGTTTCTGAAAACCAGACATACCTGCCACTCCCACATACCGACCTCCAACACGCAAAGACGGGTACACAACGGTTCACAACAGCTCTACCCACAGTCACAAAAAAACAGGAAAAGAGACAAATGTTCGCGAGAGGTGAATGGTCACTCGGTGACAAGGTGAACCTCAAAGACAGCGCTGACCAATAAATCCAGATGGGCTTCTGTGCACACAGAATTCCAGAAATCTAACCAGGCAAACTCATTTACAGCAGGTAGGGAGGGTGAGGACTGGGGGGCACGGGCAGGGGCCGCGGCACAAAGGCAGGCCCTCCTCCATCCGGCGCACTGCCTGGAAATCAAGTGTCACTAAAGCTGCTCTTGGAAGCCTTAACCAAGCACTCCATGCAACTGCAACCAGATCCTGACACGTCCACACGGGCTGCGGGGACAGGAGCGGCTCCACGCTGACCTCTGAGAGAAATCAGGCCACTCGGACGCCCTCTCCAGGAAAGACTCAGGATTGACCATACGCGAGCAAGCATCCCACGTGGTTAGGCCTGCTCTGCCTGGCTCCGGCTTCTCAGAAGCCTGGTGGTCGGCCGGAAGACAAGCAATTTGTAATATCGTAATAAATCACAATGCCGGTATCGTAGTTGGTGCGTTTTTTTAGAATTTTACATTTTCCTTCAAAATCATTACGAAAACTAACGTTTTAAAAATCCTCTGATTGAAATGTAACATATGGGGGAGAAATACACAAACCGTTACATGTACAACTCGAGGACATTTCACAAATGCACAGTGTCTGCACCCATGGGTGTCCTGACATTGCGGAGATGAACCCCAGAAGCCTCTTCACGTCCCTCCTGCTCACTCCCTTGTCCAAAGACAGCCATCAGTTTGACTTCCATCCCCAAACATTAGCCACACTTGTCTGAACATTCTATAAACAGAACCACAGGGAACATGGCCTTTCCTCTGGCTCCACGTCAGCTGCGAGGTGAGGGGAGCACATCCACCCACCCACCTGTACCTGGGAGTCTGACGCATACCCGGGAGTCTGATGCATACCCAGGAGTCGGACCTGTACCTGGGAGTCTGGGAGTCTGACACGCACCCAGGCGTATAACCCGTACCCGGGAGTCTCAGGAGTGTGGGAGTCTGACAGGTACCCAGGAGTCTGACCCGTACTTAGAAGTCTGACCTGTACCTAGGACTCTGGGAGTCTGATGCATACCTGGGAGTCTGGGAGTGTGATGCATACCCAGGAATCTGACAGGTACCCGGGAGTCTGACCCGTACCCAGGAGTCTGATGTGTAACCGGGAATCTGACGCATACCCTGGAGTCTGGGAGTCTGACGTGTTACCAGGAGTCAGACCCGTACCTGGGAGTCTGACGCATACCCGGGAGTCTGACTGACGGGTCCCTGCCGCCAGCACTCCGGGCGAGTCTCGTGTGCACACACTCAGTTCAGGTGGCAAGATGTGCGCACCCTCAGCTTCTGCGGCTAGCTGCTTGGCCTGCAGCACAGAGCAGGTCCCCCAGTGTCATTCTGGCCCACTCGGTGTGGTCACTAGTGGAAACCTCTTGGGGGAAGGGCAAGCCCCAGCATCTGTGCAGGCCGAGCACCCCTGTGTGTCTACAGGCACTGATGCCAGCCCTGCTAAACACTACCTGGGGTAGAGCTCATTACTGCTCTTCAAACGTTCAGACCAGTGGACGCTACCCTGAGAATGCCAAGTAAGCTGTTGCAACTACAGCCAGCCCCTGGCATTTCCAACTGCCTGTGACTTTTCAACATGTGCAACCAACATAAAATACAGAAATGAGCGGACAGCTACAAGACTCATAGTTTCATCCATAATCCCCAATTTCAACTGTGTGTGTCTATCCAAACTGCTTTTCTACTGGCTGACTTTAACCCCTATTTCAAAAAAAACACCGCCCTGACTTAGGTGAATCATCTGCCCCAATCAGAGATCCCCCCGGCCCCTCTGCTTGCTTCTGACTACAGGAACACAGACGCCTGAGGACAACGAGATGAGCAGAAGCCCAACCTTCCCTCTGCCCCCAGCACAGGAAGGACACGGGAGGACAGATGCTGGGCAAGCCCAAGTGGCCTCCAGGAGCCCACAGCACCGTCTGGAGACAGAACGGCTCCGAGATGCTTTAAGCCCTACCTGTACCTCCCCCTTTCCAATGACTTTTTCTAGAAAGGAGCCCACAGAGCCAGGTAGGACCTACCTCCCCACAGAGGGACCAGACATGAGGGAGAGGACTCTCCCTTTAGCTGGGTGGTACTTCCCTCTACCAGCTCCGCCAACCGTGCATGGGTGAGTCCCTTGCACGCATCTTCCCAGCACACCCCACAACCTAAATTCTACTTGATTCTCTAAAGCTGGCACTGGTCACATTACTCCGTTTCCTTTTCTAGTGAGGAAAATCATACATGTATCAAGGTAATTATTCATACAATGTTTTCTGTGTTGCTTATATAACAAGTAACAAAAAATGAAAATCTCCAATTAGATTTGTTTTCCTCTGTGGATCTAAATACTACCTAGTCCTGGGGCACCTGAGCATTTGACTCCTGGTTTCGGCTCAGTTCATGATCTTGGGGACATGGGACTGAGCCCCGTGTCAGGCTCCGTGCCCAGTGGGGAATCTGCTTGAGATTCTCTCTCCCGTTGCCCACCGCCCCCCACCCCCACTCATGTGCACCTGCCCTCTCTCTCAAATCTTTAAACTAAATAAAAAAAGAAAAATAAAGAAATACTATCTAGTCCTGTGGTGAATAACAGTCACCTAACTATATTATCATGAATACCACTGACTGGGGTTTTTGTAAACTTTTTTAAAAGTATAACACACCTTAATAACTACTGGGTAACTACCACACAGAAAGAAAATGTATATAAACTTACAGGTTGCAACCTTTATAACTAACTTATAAATAACAGAATGTAACCTCCAGTGTAAAATAATGTAGGTCGAATCTGCAGAGGAAGACAGTCTGTAAGTCGAGAAACCGAGATTTGGTTTCCTGGGTAGAGATTTAGTGGTAAATGTTAAAAGCCAGAGAAAGCAGTTACCTCTAGGGAATCTGGCTGGGACAGGTGCCTGGGAGCCTCACTTTCCATTTATACTCTTGGGGACTGATCACCTCCTTTAACTATACCCATTATCGTTCCAATGTTCGCCCTCTTCCGCTAAGCTTCGGTCACAGGAAGTGTGTGACTTCAGGGCCTCACCTCAGCCAGAGCTGCGTTTCCTCTGTCCCGAATGAACACTATGGGCGGCACATTCCGCAGGGTCTGCTGGGACATCAAAAGGTGCCTGGAGAGAGACAGAGCAAAAAGGAAAACATACAATCATCTCATGCAGAGTAAAACAAGAGATTTGCTGTCACGTTTTTCAAACACGAAAATGTCAGCCCAGGGCATCCTAGCCAACTGCCACATCACACAAGGGATACCAAATACATCATCCCAACTGTTTCTAACTGCCTAAAGGCAACTCTTGAGATCCTTACGAACAACCTGATCTGAGCCTGGAAGCCTCCTGGGCATCGCAGTGGCCGTGGGCCGCGTGGTCTGGGCACCAGCAGCCAGTGGATGTGCCCTGGCAACAAGGCCACAGAAGTGCACCGAGGTCCTGAGGCACGAGTCAGACATGCAGCATCGTCTGCAGAGTCGCTCATGCATGCAGTCGGAGGTGACGCAGCTGTGCAGACGGCCTCTCCAGACAGTGACAACAGATCCTGGGACGCGGTTACAGCAAAGCCTGTATGCTAAACCTCGGCTCATCCCAAGAGCTGGGAAAAGGGATGGTCTGTTCAGCTGATTTTCTGATTACCTAAAACTAATCAGAAAACAATACTTTCTCGCCAACACTTGTTGGAAATCTTTCTTGTTTCTGTTAACAAGAAAAAAATTAACTGAGCACTCTTTGATACGCAATTTAAAAGAGACTCCTAGGGTCTCCTGGGATGGACGTCAGGAGAGCTGAAGCGGATGGTATGTAAAAAACACTGGTTCCACACAGGACTCATCCCCTTCTCCAAAAAATGGAGTATGATAGACAAGGGAGAGGCGAGATGGACAGAGAAGGGAGGGAAGCAGGGAGGAGAGAACCCAGTTCTGAGAGTGCTGGTTGATTAGGTTTCTGCATTTCTTCAAACTGGGGAGGAAACAGAGTTAACTCCTTTACTATCACCCAGCTCGGCAGTTCTCAAAATGTTTGGTCTCAAGACCTCCTTATACTGTTAAAAATCACTGAGAACACCAAGGAGCTTCTGTTAATGTGGGTTATATCTGTCTGTATCTATCGTACTATAAATTAAAACTCAGAATTTGAAAAATATACATTAATTCATTTCAAGTAACGAACTCACTAAGTGTTCACGCATGGATATTTTTAATGAAAAATAATTTTTTTTTAAAGATTTTATTTAGTTACTTATTTGTCAGGGACAGAGAGAGCACAAGCAGGGGGAGTGGCAGAGGGAGAAGCAGACTCCCTGCTGAGCAAGGAGCCCGATGCGGGGCTTGATCCCAGGACCCGTGGATCATGACCCGAGCCAAAGGCAGACACTTAACTGACTGAACCACCCAGGCATCCTGAAAAATAACTACATAAAAAAAAAAAAAATTGAGAGGTGTGGCGTTGTTTAGTTACAAATTTCTTCACTGCCTAGCTTAGTTGGATTCTCATCTCTCCATCTGCATTCGAGCTGTTGTTATTTTGGCTGAAATATAGGAAAATCAGGCCTCACACAGATCCCTAACTGGAAAAGGAGTATGTGAACAGCACCTCAGAAAAGAATGATCTTCTCTGATAACCCACAGAAAGTCCACCAGTGATGATTTATTAAGGGCTGGCTGCACTGTGGAACCTGAAGCCAGGCCAGCGTCACAATTATACTAAAATCCACTGGTCTTCCTGCACTTTGAATCGAGCTTCCCCTACACTTGATTTTGTAGTCTCCTGTTCTGCTCGCTTGGAGACTACGGACTCCCTGAGTTACCCAGGTTTTCCGATGCTTGCACTGTACCACCCAACACTAGTCAGCGTTACCACCGGACTCATCCAGTCTTCAAGTATCGGAACGCTATCAGACTTCTGGTGGTAGACACAGTTTTCTAAAGTCAATTTTCATTTGAAAGCTTGAATTTTGGGGCACCCGGGTGGCTCAGTTGGTTAAGCATCCGACTCCTGGTTTCAGCTCAGGTCGTGATCTCAGGGTTGTGTCGGCAGGGAGTCTGGCTGATGACTCTCTCTCTCCCTGCCTCTCTCCCCCCCCCACCCCCCAGATAAATAACTGTTTTAAAAGAAAAAGGCTTGAATTTTATCACTGGGAACAAGTACAGTCAGTTGTTTTGTGATGTGACAGGTTCACTTTGCTCATTTTAGAGAAAACGTCAAATACCCACATCTGAAAAAGCGCAGCTAGCTCACTTGCTATTTCAGTGAAGGAGCGTCTGCTTCAGCTCACGTCAACTGCACGTTTCCCAAGACGACCGTCCCACGCCAGCAGGGCTAGTTTATGCTTGCTCCCCACCGCACACCGAAATGACATGCACCCAAGGGTCGGGATTTAATAAAATTAGTAACTTCGCTTATTCGTCAAGGATATTCTTGAGGAAAACTGCGCTTCTTCCCATGAGCAGCTGGCATGAGGCTACACCAACCACGGGGACATCCGGATGTCAGGAGCCCCTAGACGTCTAGGACCACGCTTTGAGAACCACTGTCCTAGACTACATCCCGCATGAATATGTAAGTTACATTTTGGAATTTAAGAGTATGCTTCCAAGAGTTTCCTTAAAAGCAGCAAAAACACAGCGAACGAGGGGGAGGTTCAAGACGCAAGCCAAAGCAGGCGGGCTGAGAGAGCAAGGCGCCATCACCTCATGTGGGCAGCACTCCTCTGCAGGATGGCCTCTGTGTGCGCGTTCTGTTCAGCGGAGACCGTGGTCTTCCAGTACGCGCGGCAGGCGGAGAAATCTGGAGTCAGAGAGACCTGAGCCCACCCACCCCAGCCGCGAATCACTTTCAGCTCCCGTGGGTTTCCCGCACACAACACTCAGGAGACAAAAACGAGTGCGTGCGCAGCCTTCAGCTTCAGGCCCCCGCCACCCACAGGCAGGCGCTCCAGCAGGTACCGCCACAGGCCACCGTCTCCTGCCGCTCACTCACAAGGGAGGAAGCTGGGCTCCGAATCCAAAACCTTAACGTCCCTGACCCCGATCCCACAGCGCACATCAGAAATGCCTGACCTGGGGCGCCTGGGGGGCTCAGTTGTTAAGCGTCTGCCTTCGGCTCAGGTCATGGTCCCAGGGTCCTGGGATCGAGCCCTGCATCGGGCTCCCTGCTTGGCGGGAGGCCTGTTTCTCCCTCTCCCACTCCCCCTGCTTGTGTTCCCTCCCTCACTGTGTCTCTCTCTGTCAAATAAATAAAATCTTTGAAAAAAAAAGAAATGCCTGACCTGCTACTCCTTCCCCTCCGTACGTCCCTCTGGCTAAACTCAAGTCTAGGGTGACACAGACTGCAGGAAGACCCATCCGCCCCACACACGTCCTGGGCACCTGACAACGCCATCGGTGTCTGCACACCACAGACGTACACATGCACCCCATCTGTACTACTTAGATGGTCATGCTTAACCTGGCTTCTGAACTCAAAGACCTCGAGAACAACGTGGGGCCTCCTTCCTAGCCACTAGGCTGCCGGCCTCCCCCGTTCCTCCCGCTCTGCCCCCGAGTCTACCTTGGAGAGCTGCACATTCAGGTCACAGATCTCTTGGCTCACTTCAGCGGTGCACAGCAAATCCATCAGCGCTTTGTAGAGGAGGCCGTTCAGTGCCCTCAGGCGCACGTGGTCGTCCCTTGTGGTCTTCTTTGAGGTGCTCTTCATTAGGAATTCCAACTGGGATGGCTTGTAAATCTCCATCCAGAAGAACAGACAAAAAGGCCAACATTACAATTGTACATTAAACTTGCTCCTGGGGCGCCTGGGTGGCTCAGTCGTTAAGCGTCTGCCTTCGGCTCAGGTCATGATCCCAGGGTCCTGGGATCGAGCCCCGCATCGGGCTCCCTGCTCCGCGGGAAGCCTGCTTCTCCCTCTCCCACTCCCCCTGCTTGTGTTCCCTCTCTCGCTGTCTCTCTCTCTCTCTCTGTCAAATAAATAAATAAAATCTTAAAAAAAAATTAATTAAAATAAAATAAAATAAATAAAACCTAAGAATTCACACTACCAATGTCTCTAGTCCCACTCCTGCAGACCTTGTGTTCTCAAATATGGAAATGGAACGACGGCCAGGCTGGAGCTCTGCCGACTTCTGGAGCCTTATGCCCACCAGAGTCTAAAGCAGCTCCTTATGGCTGCTCTGTACTTACCAAGTGAGAGCCCAAGGAAGGACCTTCATACCAAAACTTCTTTCTATGGGGAGAAAATAAGAACTATGATACTGGTGGCAAATTAAAAAAAAAAAATCATACACACCAACTCAACACTACAATACCACAATCCTTCCTAAGGGGCTAAACTTGGGCACAGAAATGTTGTTACTGGAGAACTAAGAAATTCAGAATTCTAATCAACAACATGGTGTAGGGGAGACAGAGACAGTTTAATTCAACCTGCTAACATTTACTTAAGGTCTACAATTCCAATCCTGAAGATGGAGAAAGAGAACCTCAAAAGAAGGCCTACCAAACTGCACGTGAGCACTGTACCCAGGGTATGCAACCACGCATTTGCTGGACTGGACGAGAAAAACCGGTGGTGATGGGGGAGGGTTCACTGCTTCGGTGGGAGATTACAGAAAGCAAGGAAAGCTTCCTGGATGAGCCATGTGGTGGTGGACTGGAGCTGGACATCAGTATGGACTCAAGTGACCCTGACTATCAACACGGTGGTCACACAGAGATGTTTACAGGCAAGTGTACATGCAGGGGTTAACAAAAATGTATTTTCTGCTTTGTCAGCTGAAAAGGCCTGAGGGACAGACACCCCAGCTCTCAGATTATCATCTCTGATGTCGTCCTGCAATAACAGAGCTTCTTGGAGAAATGACTGACTCCAGGGCTGAGAAAGGAAGTACTAAAAAAATGTTTTTAGGGGCCCCTGGGTGGCTCAGTCAGTAAAGCATCTGCCTTTGGCTCAGGTCATGATCTCAGGATCCTGGGATCAAGCCCCATGTCGGGCTCCCTGCTCAGTGGGGAGTCTGCTTCTCCCTCTGCCCCTCACCCACCGCTCATGCTCACTCACTCTCTCTCAAATAAATCTTAAGAATAAAAAGTTTTTAGGGGCGCCTGGGTGGCTCAGTCATTAAGTGTTTGCCTTCGGCTTGGGTCGTGATCCCAGGGTCCTGGGATTGAGCCCCACATCGGGCTCTCTGCTCTGCGGGAAGCCTGCTTCTCCCTCTCCCACTCCCCCTGCTTGTGTTTCTGCTCTCGCTATCTCTCTATCAAATAAATAAAATCTTCAAAAAAAAAAAGTTTTTAAACTTAAAAGCTGCCACAAAATCCCACAATGGTGAGTGTGCCAAAGAATAAAGGAGCTAAATTAAAAGCTCCCAATGGTCAAAGATAAAACAATCTGAGAAAAATAAAGTAGTATTAGGCGAACACCCCGAAGTCCACGCTGATATAAATTAGTAAGTGCAGGACAAGACACACACCTCATGGAGAAGTGCAAACATTCAAGAGCACGACTCCCCACCCCTCAGGTGTGCCTGCCCACGGTGAAATCCCCTAAAGAAGACAGGACACAATGGGGGGTGGGTAAACGTGACAGACATGACCTCAGTCAGTCATCAGGGCCAACAGCGACTGTGACAAACAGCCCTCTGTAGCCCTCCTCCCAAGCTCCCGTAATGCCAGCATAAGGGCGACAAGAAAACAAATCCCAACCGTGGGGCACCCTAGGAAACGTCTAACCAGAGCGCCTCAAAACCATCAAGGCCATCAAACACGGACAGAGATGGCCAGTCAAGAGGGGCCTGAGAAGGTGATTCAATGTAAGGTGGTCTCTGGATGGGTTCCTGGGGCAGAAAAAGAACTTTAGGTTAGAACTAAGGAAACAGCAATAAGGCGCACGCTTCAGTCAACAATCACGTACGAACCCTGGTTCATTCCCGGGACGAGCATGCCACACTAACCCGTCACAGAGCAGACACTGCGGGTATCTGGAACTCTGCACTCTCCACCAACTTCGCTGTAAATCTAGAAATGTTTCCAAAATCTAGTCTATTAAAACGGACGTATACCTATCACAGAGTTAAAAGTGTGGTACGGAAATCAACGTATTTTATTACAGACCTCTCACCAAAGAAAACTTCTCAAATAAAGCCCACAAAAAAACATCCAAGTGGACAGAAACGCTCACACATCTTTCCCTCTCTGATGAACCTACTCCCAAAACTCCTGCTGGTAACAACAATCAACAGAAATGGTCCTGACATACTGTTAGGGTTTCGTAAACTTAAAATTGTGTTACCTCAACTGTAAATAAAGAGAAAAGGCTGAGCGGGAAACCGAGCAAATGTTAAATAGTGACGAGCGGGATTCCTGGCAATTCTGCAATAACCCTAAACCTAACGAGCAAGAGCTACGCTTGCTGACCAGGTGCTGAGACAGGGCTCCAGCGGGGGCCCCAGAAACCCCGTCCCCGCCGCCCCCGGGGACGCCCTCCCCTTAACCCGTGGACCCCGTCCCCGCCCCGGGGACGCCCTCCCCTTGTCCCGCCGACCCCGTCCCCGCCCCGTGGGCACAGCCCCCGCCCCGTTGGCTCCGCCCCCATCCCGTAGCCCCGCCCCTCGGCCCGTGGACGCCCTCCCCCTGCCCCGTGGGCACCGCCCCCCGGCCCGTGGACCCCCCCCTCTCCTTGCCCCGTGGGCACAGCCCCCGCCCCGTTGGCTCCGCCCCCATCCCGTAGCCCCGCCCCTCGCCCCGTGGACGCCCTCCCCTTGCCCCGTGGGCTCCGCCCCCACCTTGTAGCCCCTCCCCCTGCCCCGTGGGCACTACCGCCCCGTGGACTCCGCCCCCGCCCTGTTGCCCCTCCCCCCTTGCCCCGTGGGCACCAACCCCGCCCCGTGGACACCCTCCCCTTGCCCCGTGGGCCGCCCCCCTCTCGTGAACAGATCCCCCGAACCTGCGTCCTGCCCCATGGACACTGCCCCTGCCCCCTACCCGAGTTAGTCGCCCTCTGCCACAAGAGCACTGCCCCCATGCCCAGCGCCCCCACCCGGACGAAGTGCGCATTACTTGGTTTTCGAAGCAAATTTCTTGAGTAGATTCTTGCCGCAACAGACCGGCGAGCCATTCAGGCCTCGCGCACCACCCGGAAGGAGAGCCGCGTGGCGACCACGGAGTAACGCCGGGAGCCCCTCGAGAAGCCCCGACGGTCGGAGAGTTACCGCCCACATGGCTGCTGCAAGAGCGCCGGGGCGGGGCGACGTGAGGCGACGCGGGGCGACGTGAGGCGACGCGGGGCGACGTGAGGGGACGCGGGGCGGGGCCGGCGCGGGGCGGGGCCGGCGCGGGGCGGGGCCGGCGCGGGGCGGGGCCGGCGCGGGGCGGGGCCGGCGCGGGGCGGGGCCGGCGCGGGGCGGGGCCGGCGCGGGGCGGGGCCGGCGCGGGGCGGGGCCGGCGCGGGGCGGGGCCGGCGCGGGGCGGGGCCGACGGACTAGGCGGAAGCACGCGGAACGAGGTGAATTCGGAGGCGCAGTGTACTCTGAGGCGGGGCGACCTGCGTACGGAGCGACGTAGGGGCGTGGCGACGTACCTTCAGGGCGCCGTGTGGTACGCGGTGTGCGTACAGAGCGGGGCGGGCTCTAGAGGCCGGGGCGCTGCGGGGCGACGTCGGGGGGCGGGGCCTGCAGGCCAGGTGGCAGGCGTGGGCGGGGGGGTGGGGGAGTGCGGTGGGGACTGCGGTCCGGCCGGTGCGCGAAGTGGGGAGGTGCGCCTAGCAGCGCCCGCGCCACCCGGCTGAAGATGAGAGCGGGGGGTGAGGTGCGGACGACCCGGGGCTCCTGAGGCGGAGCCCCTGCCGCCTCAGCAGCCTCCCGTGCGCTCCAGAAGGAGGCAGGCCCGTGCCTGGGGGTCCGCCCGGCTCGACGCCCCGCGCCCCTCCTGCCCGCACGACCGGGGCCGCAGTCCTCGCGGGAACTTGGCGCACGGACGCTGTCGCTGGAGGGTCAGGTTGTCAGGGACACTAACGCACGGCAGGAGGGAAGGCGGCAGGGCCCCCGGGGAGATGCAGACCCAGCCCGGGGCTCACTCCAAAGGCAGGTGTCTGCCTGCTGTTGAGGGGGGACGCCAGCAGCTCTGTGCTGGGCTTCACTAGGCAACAGGACAGCTGCCCTCCGAGCTGCCCGGAGGAGGGAGTGCGAGAGGACGCCAAGCGCTGAGCAAGCTCTCAGTGGACAGCATTACTGCTCTCAAGGTTTTTTGGCCAGAAGAATATTAAACATTGTTTTAAATGTATTTATTTACCTGATCTCCACTCCCTAGGTGGGGCCTCAAACAGGACCCTGACATCTTCCGACTGAGCCAGCCAGGCCCCCTTTGGCCAAAAGAATATTAAACCAATCTATATAATGGACTCTAGTAAAACACAAAATAAGATTTTTTCCCCATTTAATCTGTCATCGCACTGACCAGCCCACATACGATCATTTAAGTAGCACTTCGTTAGGAATGGGAAGGCCATTGAGAGAAGCCAGGATGCTTTCCACCAGATTCTCCATCATCTGTCGTCTGGCTTGGTGAGTAGCACTTCCAATGTGAGGTGTCAGAGTGATGTTCCTCAACTTCAATAAAGGATGATCTCTGAAATGCAGATTAATTGATGAAAACTGTTCAGCATGGTTTGGTGTCTCTAATTTCACATTCTGGTTTGATACCCTCATGCCGAGAAGGGGAGGCTGTGGGTAGCCTTACAGCATGACCCCACTCATCTAATGCCAGTAAGTGGGGGGCAGCATTTTGGGGGGCGAAACAAGTATCCTAGTCACACCCAGACCATTAGCACACAATGCCATGACATGGGGTGGATTAAACAACACTGGCCCCCAAAACAGAAGAGGCCCTTGGGGATCTGGATGCTAGTCTAGGCATCATGGGACAGGCTGAATGTGCCTTTAATGAGTAGTGGCATTCAGAGGGGAAAGATTAACTGGAGGGGGAGTTCTCTTCCCCAAAGAAGGCAGAGGATGGGAGTCAGCTGGAAAAAGAAGGAAGTGTTAGTGAAGGGGGTCAGGGGGACTCACACAATGATGGTAACCCCAGCAACCAGCACTAGGAAAGGGCAGTGACCTGACCCGGCAGGGCCTCTTGACTGTTTTAATACAAAAGCCAAAGTAAGCATGCAGCAATAAGCCTTCATCCTTTGGGAATATTATGGACCCCAAATCTGTGGAAATTCTCTGGGGGCACTTGTAATTTATATCAATGCACTATGACTGTCCTTGCCCCCAGGGCTGATCAAAGTGAAGACAGAGCCTATAATACCGTTAGCAGGGCAGAAACTACTCAAAAAAACACTTCTGTCCTCCTGCTAGGAAGGAGGTGGGCCCTACTATCTAACAGCACACGCCGGACACCAGTCTCAGTATGAGGTTGTCCCCACGACTCAGAACTCAGAAAAACAGAGTCGTGGCCAATTGTAACAACACCTGTCCAGAGTATTTGGCGTACAGGCAAGACCTGATTTGTTCTGTCATGAAACTGAATTGTACCAGCACAACATTGCAGCACTGGCATTGCTGAGATTTAAGTCACAGGATAACACTGACAAGCTTTGGGAGAGACCCCTGTCCTTGCCCTGTGACTTGTTAGTGAAGCTACCAAAAAGCTCATTCAGCAGACTCGGCAACAGGTGAGCCGTAAGCTTCTAGGTTTCTGAATAAATTGACAACTGTCTAGAATGCTCATGCTTCTTAATTGATACTGACATTCTTTTGTTCTACATTAGTGGTTCTCAAACATTGGGTCTCAGGTACACTCTTCAGGTCAGTATTTTTTTGTTGTTAATTTTTTTTTTTTTTAAGTAGGCTCCACCCCCAATGTGGGGCTTGAATTCACAACCCTGAGGTCAAGAGTCGCGCTCTCTACCAACAGCCAGCCATGCACCCCAGGACCTCTTTACACTCTTTTAAAAAATTTTTAAGATTTTATTTATTTGAGTGAGAGAGAGAGTGCAAGTGAGAGGCAGAGGGAGAAGCAGACTCCCCGCTGAGCAGGGAGCCCCATGCGGGGCTCGATCCCAGAACCCTGGGATCACACCCTGAGCTGAAGACAGACACTTAACCGACTGAGCCACCCAGGTGCCCCTCTTTACACTCTTAAAATTGAGAATCACAAAAAGCATTTGTTTTTATGGGTTGTATCTGTCAACATTTATTGTATTAGAGATTAAAACTAAAAAAAGATTAATACAATAACAGAAGCACACCTTTCATTAGTTGTCAGAGTGATGATGTCATCAGTCTGTACTGAAACATCAGTGAAAAATTATGACTGTACAGACCCCTCAAAGCGTCTCCAGACCACATTCTGAGAAACTATTCTAAATAAACTTGTTTGTGTTTTTTTTTTTTTTTTTTTTTTCAGAAATGTAAGTTCTATGGTCAGTCTTGATAAACTTAAGATACTAAATTTGGTTGTAATATCAAACATCCAGCTGACAGTAATTTGCTTACTAGACAGAAATCAAAGCTGGAGGAATCAAACCTGGCTTAATGAATGACACCAAGATTCAAAATAAATGACAGAATCAAGACTCCAGTCCCAACAGGCTGGATCAATGGGTCAAAACACAAGCATGGAGGGCGCCTGGGTGGCTCAGCTGGTTAAGCGACTGCCTTCGGCTCAGGTCATGATCCTGGAGTCCCTGGATCGAGTCCCACATCGGGCTCCCTGCTCGGCAGGGAGCCTGCTTCTGCCTCTGACCCTCCCCCCTCTCATGTGCTCTCTCTCTCTCATTCTCTCTGTCTCAAATAAATAAATAAATAAAATCTTCAAAACACAAGCATGGAGCGCCTAGGTGGCTCAGTCAGTGGAGTGTCCAACTCTTGATGGAGACCCTGGAGTTGGGGCTCAGCAGGGCATCTATGTGAGACTCTCCCTCACCCTCTGCCCCCCCATGCATGCATGCATGCATGCTCCATGCACCCTCTCTCTCTCTCTCTCAAAAAATACACAGGGGTGCCTGGGTGGCTCAGTCGGTTAAGCGTCTGCCTTCAGCTCAGGTCGTGATCCCAGGGTCCTGGGATTGAGCCCCGCATCGGGCTCCCTGCTCCGCGGGAAGCCTGCTTCTCCCTCTCCCTCTGCATGCCGCTGCCCCTGCTTGTGCTCTCTCTGACAAATAACTAAAATCTTTTAAATAAAAATAAAATGTCCTTAAGACACAGAAGCAAATTACATTAAATAGAAATAAATGTAAAATTCCACGCATATATTTAAAAGACAATTGAGGGAATAATTTCAATTTTTGCTGACTAAAAATGGAATGAACTAAGAATGCAATAGGCCTGCTAGGAATACACACTGCGAAACCAACCTGCGTGGTCAGACCCCAACATGAAGGCTGTGTTCAGGTCTTGAGAGCACATTATCAAAGGACCTCAAAAACTAAAGTGCTAGAAGCATTAATGATGACAAGGTGTCTGGAAATGCTACCATTTCAGCTGTGATCGGGGGACCTGAAGATACTTAACCTCAGACACATGGCGGTTGTTGGACAATACACAAGGTTTGTAAAGAGGACAATGGTCAGGGACTCTGATGCCCCAAGGGCAAATCAGGGTCATTGGCTAAGGCAAGGACTGTTCTGGTTGGATAGGAGCAAGACTGTCCAGTGCAGTCTCCACCCATGGGGGCTGCTGCCCGAAAGCTCAGAGCTCCCTCTGCACGGAGGTGTTGAAACAGACGTCTGGCCATCTGCAGAACCGGACAGGTCACCAGAGGCCTGCTCAGACCCCTCCACGGCTGAGACCCTGCCGGTTTGTGACTTAACACGGCTGCAAAAGCCAAAAACAGTGACTGCTGGAGGAGTGCCCTCCGTGCCTCGAGAGAGATGGCAGTTCTGTCCGGCTTCCTTACCTGGGCAGGGGCTCCGGGTACGTCACATCCAGCGCTGCCCCTTTGATGACCCCAGTCTGAAGAGCCTCCATCAGCGCGTCCTGATCGACTAACAGACCTGAGTCAACGAGACAAGGCCTCTGCGTTACTATGGTCAGGCAGGACCTGGGAAGGACGCTGTTCCAAACACGTCTTGGTCCTGTCAAACGTCTGACAAAGAATGTGTGAGCTTCATTCTGCCAATTCATTATTAGACGTGGCAAGCCTGCCACGTGCCAGGCAGTGCGCTAAGCCCCGCACACACGCTATCTCACTGAATCCTCCAAGAACCTGGCAAAGTCAGCATTCGTTTTACACGTGAGGAACTGAGGTCTGACCCCAGCTCACACAGCTCCTAACAGAGCAACCCAGATCTGAGCTCAGGTTTGTTTAAGCTCTGGCCTGGGCCTCTCACTTTACACACCACCTCCCCAGGTTACAGACACAGCCCCCAGACATTGCAAACACACTTTAAAAACTAAACCACAAGCACAATCCACAACTGTCATTTCAAATACAGAAGAGCAGAAGCTGAGAAGAAAACCCCTTCCTTGAGGCAGAGACTGGCAAGGAGCCGAACTCCAGCATCCTTTCCGCTGACTGATGGAGGGGCGGCCTGCTGGTCAGGACACAGAGCGCCCCTGGTGTGTGGGGGGCTGCTGCTGGAGATGCCTCGTCCCACGCCCTTTCCTGGGCAGGTTTTCCAGAATCTTGAGTATGTTCACCAGCCTCTGACATTACTGAAACTACCTAAGGCACTGGTCCTTCCAGCTCGCCTACAGGGCCTGAATTTTCAGAGAACTCTCAAGCATGTTAGCTCAGCCCTGTGCGGTTTTCTGCTCTTCCGACACCAACTCTTTTTGGGTTCCCGAACCCAATTCCAACATGGGGGGGGACCTCCTCCAAGACCAAGCAATTCTTGGGATAGCAGCAAGGTGTCTGAGACTTCAACTCCATTCTGACACTGTCTGCCTTGGAAATAGCATCTGATCTCACAGGTTAAGGGCTCAGTCCTATAAGACTGCCTCCTGCCCCCGAATTCAGACACCAGTCGGAAATCCCAGGATGTGACTTGTGCTTCTGACCAACTGGCTGCAGATTGGAGGTTCCAGTGACCTCCTCCGTAATTTGCTGCAGCGGCCCACAGAACTCAGGGAAACACGTTTACCTGTTTGTTAAAGGGTATGACAAAGAGTAAGAATCAAGAGCCAGATGAAGAGGTGCACAGGGAGCGGTCTGGGGAAAGGGTGTGGAGCTTCCATGCCCTCTCCCGACAGCCACTCTTCCCAGTCTCCAGGTGTTCACCAATCCGGAAAATTCCGAACCCAGCCCTTTTGGGTTTTTAGGGAGGCTTCTTCGCATAGCCACGATTGATTAAATCATTGACCATTGGCTGACTGAACCTCCAGGCCCTTTCCCCTCCCCAGAGGTCAGGCGTGGGGCCAAAAGTTCCAGCCCTCTGATCACATGGTTGGACCTCCTGGCAGCTTGAGTGAGTGGGTTCCAGAAGTCGCCTTCATTAACAAAAGACACCTTTAGCACTCTCAACACTTGGGAAACGTTGAGGGTTTGGGGAGCAGAGAGCCAGGCACTGTGGATGAAGACCACAGCCGAATGACCAAACCTGTATTTCTTACAAATTACAATCTCAGGTGGCAAGCACTGTTTTCCTCGTTTTACAGATGAGACACATGTGCTGTTGGTAGCCCCAGGTGTCACCGTCCTCTGGCTCTGAACCCCACAAAGGTGCATGGCCTGGATGTTTGACAGCAAGCAGCACTGATCCTCAGATTCTTTATAAATGCCACACCAACCAACCCACAACACATGCAACTACGTCCTGTATATAAACACAAAGCACTACAAAAATAAGTTACTTACTTTTTAAAGTGAAGGCTCAGAAAATTCATCCCCATAAATTTTGCTTAATTACACCTGGAAGACCAAACTATAATGCCCCTACCCCAAGTAGATGCCCAAATTGGGCTGTGAAAGCCCCATATTGTAACATTCTCATCCTTTTTGTTATTAATTTGAGTTTCAAAGTGATGTGAAAACAAAAATCAGAAGTATCTCTAAACAGGAAGTAGACTCCCTCGAACTCAGCATCCCCATCTCAGTGGACTTTTGGACGCCACAGCCATTGGGAGAAAGGCAGATCAGAGGAGCTGCATGGCCGGGGCGTTTCCTCCCGCATGACTGTCCAGCCCCCGGGCCCACACTCCGTGGAGACAGTACCTCTGCCGATGTTGATGAGAATGGCCGTGGGCTTCATCAGACTCAGCTCCCTCTTCCCAATCAGCCTCTGGGTCTGGGGTGTCAGGCTCACAGCCAACAGCACGAAGTCTGATCGCTGAAGCAGGTCATCCAGACTCTCACAGTAAGTGGCACCAACAGCTTCCTCCTCCTCTAATTTCCTATGAAGGAACAAGGAAGAAAAACCACGTTCTCCAATCAGAAATTCATCACATTGCCCCAGGAAGGAGGTTCTGAGGGGAGCCAAGGGCGTGGTCTGTCACCACTGGCTCCAGGACCCATGGGAACCCCGTGGGCACCTCTGGGTTCTCGGAGGGGAGGCCTCAGGGTCTGTGGGAGTTCACACCAGACTGAGGCTCCTTGAGGCCAGGAGCTTCTTGTCACTTGAACCCCCAGAGCCTGGTACAAGTCCGACAGTGCACCAGACATACGCTCAGCGACCACAGAACATTACTGAAAGGAAGTAGGTTCCACTCAAGTCACAGCACGAGCATGTACTTCTGTGACCACAGAGCATCACTAATGTGGGCAAACACATCCAGGTTTCCAGAAAACACACAAACAGAACAGGAAAGGGCCTAGGAATGCTGCTTATCACGCAGAAACCAAGGATCCCAGAGTCTGAAGCAGGCAGACTTTTGTGTTTTGTTTTGGTTCAATCCTAATTCCTGCTTGGGCCACCCCAAACAGCTGGTTATTCAGCAGAGGTTCCAAGATCCTAGAGGTCACAGCATCCTAGGCAGCCGCCACGGCTCTACAAATATGGAATTCCAAATTACACAAATTCTCTCCTAACATGTGTTTGGGTCAGTGGACAGCCCCGAGGAAGGACGAACACCGTGCCCACATCACACACTTTGTCCTGCAAGAAGCCTGGCCTCTGTGTGTGTGTGTGTTCATCACAAGGAAAGTTGTCACACCTAAGTCTCTTCACTGTCCATAGTGCAAACACTGACTGAAAAGACAATCTCCCAGCTCACCATGTCTCCAAGAGTTCCTCACCAGCTGGGAATGTGGTCCACAGGCAGTGGGAGGCCCCTGAAAGGCTGTAAACAATGGCCATCATCTGGCTGGTTTGCAAGGAGGGCTGGAGGTTCAAGAGCAGAAGTGAGCAGTCCCGTAGGAGAAATATGTATTTCAGGTGAGAAAGGACGGGGCCTGAGCCAGTGGCATAGATGAAGTGAGAGAGAATAGGCAGGTCTGAAGGCTGTTTGGAGACGGAGCCAACAAGCCTGGGCACTGGGCTGAGGGAGAGCCTGCACACTTAAGGACGCGGGTCCCTCGCTGAGAGCCAACACGTCCGTCAGTATTAAAGGGACCAGTCAAGTTGCTCAGTGGGTATGGACAGCTTCTCCCTTTCACTTTAGAAATTTAAAAAATACAATTGTGAGTTAAAATCTCTTCTGGTGAATGTTTTTAATAAAAAAAGTCTCAGCCACATTCCTAGGTAATCACCATCGCTTTCTTGACCATCATCCTTATTTTTTGGAGAGAAAGAGCAGGGGAGTCTTATGAAAAACGGGGGGATCCTATATCCAAGCCATATTGAAGGCCGTAACGGTACGAGTTCTGCTCAGTTAATTTCAGGTCCATTTTCTGAATGTTTACCTGCGTCTCCTGTTGTGATACAGAACCTTCATTTCGAATGCTTTGGCTCTCTGAGCAATCTTATAACCAATGCTGCCCATGCCAATGAGTCCCAGAGTGGCCCCCGTCACCTCTTGACCCATCCAATTTGTAGAAAATTTCTCTGTATCTGGTGCACTGGCCAACATATGACCTAAAATATAAAAGGTACAGAGTGAGTGGTGGGGATGGCACCACACACAGAAGCCCACACCCTCCCTGGGGCCTTCTGACTCCACAGCGCTCACACCTCTCTGACCACAGACAAAGGTTTCTGTAAGGGCTGAAGGGGGGGACAAACGGCAATTTCCTCGTAACAAAACCAGAGCATCCTGGTAGAAAGCTTTAAAACACCAGCTTCTTTTACATTAAGGAAGGCCTTCTGGTTAAAATTTGTTGGTGTTGTTATGTGTGTGTGCATGCACATGAACCACAGCCAGACCAGAAAGAGCCTGGTTCTCGCTTCCCCTTTCCTCAGGTGTCTTCGTACCCAAGTCCACCGGGAGGGAGAGGGAAGGGCTGAACTGCTCCGCTGCCCTTCAGGGGGCCCTCCCAGAGATGTCCAGGGTGTGCAGAGGTCCTGCCTTCTTACTCGGAGGCCTTCACCCCAGCAGAGACTGCTGACTAACCAAGGAATGACCCCCAGGGCATTTCCATGGAGATGCTGAAATTACTTCCACCGTCAAGGGAATGAGTGGAAGCTGGTGGGGGGCGGACAGGGCTGCCGTCAGACAGACTGCAGGCCGCCATGTGCCAGGGAGCTGGGCTCGGGCCCTCAATGGGCCCAATTCCCAAGTGCAACAAAGTCCTGGATACAGTGTGAAGAAGTCAGGGCCCAGGAAAGACTTGTTGTTTGAAAACAAAATTACGTTATCATCTCTGCTATCCTCTGTCATCTGCTCTCTTTGGAAAACCAGCATCTCCAATGGCTGTTTACCTTCCACGACCCTGCGAGCGGCCGCCAGCAGTAAAGCCATCCCCATGTCGGCTGTGGGGCTGGACACGGCCTGTGGTGTGTTGGCTACCTTCACACCAAAGCTGGCGATGAGCTTCAGGTCCAGGTGATCGAGACCTACTCCTGCGCTGGCAATTATCTTCAAGGAGGGCAGGCTCCCCAGGAGCTCCTGGTCAATAGCTGGCCTTCCTCCCCAGATATATACAGCTTGGATCTTTGGGCCAAATTGCATTTTATTTTCCAAAAATTCTTGCAAGGTAATGAGATTAAAGTGTTTCTGCAGATCTCCAACATGATCTTCACATATACCATAAGATCCCTCCAATCCAGACACCAACACGCCAGGTAAGTCCTGATCCCCCATGGCCTGCAGGAAGACAAGCACGATTTCTGCTGTCAAAACGTCTTTAAAAGAACAATCAATATGATCCTGTAGCTCCCTGCTACTCCGCCTGTGCTCTTTTAGGGTTCTGAGCACCCGATTTCCAACATGGGGGATCCCCCACTCACAACTCCAAGCAATTCTCAGGATACCAGCTGAGTGTCCCAGTGTCCGAGAATTCAACTCAATTCTGACACTATCTACCCAAAGATAGCATCAGATCCCACACGTTAAGGGCTGAGTCCTCTAAGACTGCCCACCCCACCTTCCGACACCAGTCACAGGCACCAGGCTGCTCCCTGTGCTTCTGACCCACTGGCAGATTGGAGTTTCCAACCACCTCCTCCTTAGGTTCTTCGAACTCGCCAGAGCAGCTCACAGACCTCGGGGGCACTGCCTCGTGCTTCCCAGTTCCTTCAAGGATACGATAAAGGACACGAAGAGTGAGGTGCCAGACAACTGAGTTTCTGTTGTCATGGAGCTTGGGGCCGGCTCATCGTAGAAGAGTTGTTTCCCTAAGCGTGGAAGGTCTCCAGAAAGGACCAAAAAGCTGACCTCTTGGGTTTTTATGGAGGCTTCATTGCGTAGCCAGGATTAATGAAATCATTGGCCACTGGCGGAGTCAACCTGCATCCTCTCCCCAGAGGTCAGGGATGGGGCTGAAACTTCCAACCTCTGATCACAAGGTTGGTCCTCCTGGCAGCCCTCCCCGCCCTGGGGTGGGGTCCCAAAGTCACCTTCATTAAGACCATGTCACCTTTCTGGCTCAGAAGCATTTCCAGGAACCGGATAAAGACCAAATACATCAGGTATATTTTGATCATCTGAACAACCAAATACATATTTCTCATAAATCACTGCAGTTACTCTTTAGATTTTCTAAATTACATCAACACTGGAATTCATTTTATTTCTTGGACAAATCCCTATAATACCTGAGGGCAACAGACCCACCCCTCTGAAGTCACCAATGTCTCCATCACGCCCACTTTCCTCCCTATCCTACTTGGGTCTTTATTTCTACCTTTCAGCAGTGGTGGCAGCCTCTCAGACGGCCTCCAAAGATCTCCCTCCTGCCAACCACATCTTTGCGTGACCCCAACCCTGGTGCTTCAGGTAAAGAGAAGACAGCAGAAGCAATGGGAGGTCACCATGTGGGCTCTCTTTCTCCCATTCCTGGGGGAGGCCAGGGCCATGCTGGGAGACATCCCTGTGCAGACGCCCATGTGAGTGAACTTGGAAGCAGATCTAAGAGGCCTGCCAACAGCCTGGTGAGCAGGGAGGTGACCACAGCCCTGGCCAACCCTCCATTAATGTTTCATAAGATCGTGGGCCAGAACCACCTGGGTAAGCCACTCCTGGATTCCTGACCCAAAAACCTGGGAGGTCATAGAGTTTGTTTTTACAGCCACTGAAATTTAGGTAATTTGTTATATATGCAGCAGTAACTAATTAGACCATTTTTTACTGTGAAAATAAAAGATAGGTTATTATCTGCCAAATGGATTAAATAAAGTTTTATGATCCTTGTTCCTTTTTTTTATTTTTTATTTTATTTATTTATTTATTTATTTGAGAGAGAGAGAGCGAGAGAGAAACAGCATGAGAGGGGATAGGATCAGAGGGAGAAGCAGGCTCCCCGCTGAGCCGGGAGCCCGATGTGGGACTCGATCCCAGGACTCCGGGATCATGACCTGAGCCGAAGGCAGTCGCTTAACCAACTGAGCCACCCAGGCGCCCTATGATCCTTGTTCCTAACTAAAGATATTTTTAATATTTTATAACTTTCCTCCACAAGGAAAACAAAGCAGGATTAGGTCTAGACAAGTTGGGCTCTGGGTTCAGACCAACCGCTCTGCTGGGCTGGGCTTTTCTCTGAAACTCACTTTCCTCAAACATAAAAGGAGGGCAACACACAGCCTTGCTGGTGGCCCCAACCACGAGAGAACATGTAGAGCCTGGAGAATCAACTGTAAGCTTTCAACAAACGGAAGTTACTAACATTTCAACCTGAACAATGTAGACATTTACCCAAGTCTCTAAAAATTAACAGACTACACCAAAAAGGGAGATTGAATTCATAAAACACAGCATAATTTCTTTTTTTTTAATAAGATTTTTAAAAAATTTTATTTGAGAGAGAGCACGCACAAGCAGGGGAGAGGGGCAGAGGGAAAGTGAGAAGCAAACTCCCCACTGAGCAGGGAGCTCAATGAGGGGCTTGATCCCAGGACCCTGGGATCATGACCTGAGCCGAAGGCAGATGCTTAACCAACTGAGCTACCCAGGCACCCCCACAGTAGAATTTCTTAAAATCCTATTTTCTCATGTATCTTTCTCCCTTAACATTGGACAGATGGGCCCAATACCCCCCAAATTGTCCTCACTTCCCCAATGTGCAAGATTCGCCTCAAATCCACACCGCCAGCTTTGATCTTCTCTACAACCCCTGTCAAAGCCCATTGTCTCGCTACCAGCAGTCCTGCTCCCTCCATGAGTCCAAAACCAAAGTCGTTTGTTCTCGGTCCCCCACACAGACCATGGGCCCAGATTCTGCACAAAAGAGGCTCAGGAAAAAAAAAAAGAGTCTCAGAAAATAGGCTGAAAAACAAGAATTCTCCTTAATGAGGGGTAGGTGGGAATGATCTAATCAGCACTTGACTAGATAAGGGACCTAAAAGGTTAGAATATGCCAAAGGGTTGCCGGATTCCTTGACAATGTTTGGGGTTCAGGGTTACTGAAAACAGCACCATTTTCACCTTTTACGTGTCCTTTCTCCAGTCACCAGGTATCAGCAAATCCAATATAACTTAAAACCAATACTATCGTCTCAAGTACTAGCAAAAACAGGTGCTTTGAGAAATGGCCTGTCAGGGAACGCCTGGGTGGCTCAGTCGGTGAAGCGTCTGCCTTCCGCTCAGGTCATGATCCCAGAGCCTGCTTCTCCCTCTGGCCCTGCCACCCCCCCTGCTTGTGCTCGCACATTCTCTTTCTCTCTGACAAATAAATACAATCTTAAAAAGAGAGAGAGAGAAATGGCCTGGCAGGGCTTGCTAAACACTGAAGAAAAAACTGAATTCATGTAAGGGAGTAAATTATACTAAAATCTGATATGGGTAGCTGAATCTTATCTACTTAAAGCTTAATCTGCCATTACGGGGTGCCTGGGTGGCTCAGTCAGTTAAGCTTCTCCCTCTCCCTGCTACTCCACCTGCTCCTGATCTCTCTCTCTCTCTGTCAAATAAATAAATAAAATGTTTAAAAAATATAAATAAAATAAGGCTTACTCTGCCATTGCCTAGAGCTTAGAAAAATAGTAAATCCCTGTCCAAGTTGATCTTTAGATTCTGGCAGAGTCCCTGAAGCTGCCTTAAGTCCTCTCTCTCCAGGAGGCAGGTATAAATGAGGTCGATTTTCCTTGCTAAATCTTTAGGATTGAGCAATGCAGGTCTGGATGGGTATTAGAATTCTACTTGGCCCACCTGTTCCAAGTAACGCCCAAGGTCACAGCCACACCCATGTCGCAGAGCTTGATTTAGTCGCTGGCCCAGGCGACACCCCTGGGGCACATTTACCTTTTCAAAAGACCGCCGGGGCGCCTCGCTGGCTCAGTGGGTAGTGCAAGCGACTCGATCTCAGGTCAGTTCAAGCCCCAGGTGGGCGTGGAGCATACTTTAAAAAAAAAAAAAAGATAAAAACACCCTAGCCTCCGGAGCACCTACTTCACAGTAAACACCAGGGGTCACGGAGCGCAGCAATCACGCACCTGCTCTCCGCCCCGCCCCAGGCCCCGCCCCAGGCCCGCCCCAGGCCCCGCCCCGGCTCCACCTTCCGAAGGCCCCGCCCACAGGCCCCACCCTCAACCCACCCTTCACTCGGCTCCCAGGATGCCAGACCCACCCCTGAGGCCGCCCGGCCATGCCCTCAGCACAGCAAAAACGGCTTTTTTGGAAGGAATTGAAACTGAAGACAAACAAGCTATGGCAAAAACCATACGCTGGTCCAACAAATTAGGAGAAAGTTGGACAAAGTCCCTTAGACAAAAGCAAGAGTTCAGGGTGACGACAGTTTGCCATCACTTGGGTTGCAGGAAAAGCTGATTTCATCTTTTCCTGCTGGAGCCTGTAACTGATGATTCTTCAGGTTGAGTTCTTCCGTTAGGGTCTCTAATTGACAATTCTTCCTGTAATTGACCTTCCATGGGGGGCGGGGGAGCACCCCCTTCTGGCCTTCCTACTCCATTTTAGTGAAGTTTCCCTTTATTAATTTTCACATTTCTTAGTCAAAAATACTATCTCGGGAGATGTCTGGGCTAATTATGTTTTTTTTAAATAGACTAAATGGTACTAGTAAGACAGGTAATGGGTCGCTTAAAGCCGCGTCTTTAGGAAACTGTCATTGGGTCCTGGCTTCACTTGCCACCTCTACTGTGATGGTTCTCCAGTTTTTACGCCCTCTCTCACGGAACTCTGGAAGCTGCCTAACTACCCTCTCCTCATGGACTCCCTTTGCTATCTTTTTCCCCATACATGGCAGCCTAGGTGATTGAAAAATACATAAAGCTGGTATGTTCACTGCCAGCTAAAGCCCCTTGGCAGCTCACCTTGCTCATATGGTCAAGTCCAAAATCCTGAGCACAGCCTCCGAGGCCCCCATTCCCTGGCCTGCCCACCTCTGCAAACCCCTTGAGTGTTCCTATCGTCAGCTGCATATCTTCTGCCAGGTGCCCCAAACTGCCAGGCTGCTGGCCCTGGACTTGTTCCCAGGTTGCCTGGACCCAAACCCAGCCCTTCCTCTAGTCCTCATTCATCGGGCAGGTCATCCCTTGGGGGGAAGGCTTTTCCGAACTCCCTGCTGAATGTGCTCACCCTGGACTCGCCCCCATAGGACTCCGTCATGGATCCAAGTTAAATGTATGATTTTCTGGTAAGATCAGGCCTTCTGCTAGACCCCGCTCCATGAGGGCAGGGACTCAGACATGTTGAAGTCCATTTCAAGCATTCCTGTCCAGCACACGTATGTGCTCAATAAAGATTTGCTGAATAACTATGGAATGAATGCTATGTGAAGGAAGGAAAGTTTCCCAAAACAGAACTGCCCAGAATGTACAGGCTGAAAGAGGACATGGAGTTTTACTATTTTCCTTTTTCTTTTTTTTTTTTTAAGATTTTATTTATTTGACAGAGAGAGACACAGCGAGAGAGGGAACACAAGCAGGGGGAGTGGGAGAGGGAGAAGCAGGCTTCCTGCAGAGCAGGGAGCCTGATGCAGGGCTCAATCCTAAGACCCTGGGATCATGACCCAAGCCGAAGGCAGATGCTTAACAACTGAGCCACCCAGGCACCTGGAGTTTTACTATTTCTATCTCAAGATCATAACAAAGCTCTTAAGCCAGGATTGACTTGCAAAAAATGAAATTACCAGTATCCAAATACCCACCCTAAATGCTCTATCAACTTCAGTCCAGCAAGAATCCAAACTGCCCCACAATCCCTGCTGTGTTCAGTTGGAAGTCACTATAGTAAAAAAAAAAAATAAGAATTTGATAAAACCGGCTTTAACTTTATTACTAAATGCACACAAGAGTATTTATAACATGTGTGAGTTATAAAAATAGTAATAAAATGAACCCGTTATGTGTTATATATATGTATATATTCCTTAGTATATTAAGAAATATACCATTCCCGTTACTTTTGAAGTTTTTTGTGTCACTCCCCGTGGCTCCAGAGGTAACCCCTACTTTGAATTTAGTGATATACAGGCATACCTCGGAGATACTGCGGGTTTGGTTCCAAGCCCTGCAATAAAGCAAGTATCACAATAAAGCAAGTCAAGTGATTTTTTTTGTTTCCTAGTGCATATAAAAATTATGTTTACACCATACTGTAGTCTATTAACTATGCAAGAGCATTGTGTGTAAAAAAATGTACATACCTTAATTTTAAAATACTTTATTCCAAAAAATGTTAACCACCACCTGGGCTGTGAGTTGTAATCTTTTTGCTGGTGGAGGGTCTTGCCCCGATGTTGGTGGCTGCTGAAGGCTGGGTGGCCATGGCAATTTCTTAAAACAAGACAACAATGAAGTTTGCCACATCAATTGGCTATTCCTTTCACAAACAATTTCTTTGTGGCACTCGAAGCTATTTGATAGCATTTTACCCACAGCAGAACTTCTTTCAAAATTGGAGTCAACCCTCTCAAACCCTACAGTCTTATCAACTAAACGTATGTAATATTCTAAATCCTTTGTTGTCATTTCAACAATTTTCACAGCATCTTCACCAGGAGTAGATTCCATCTCGAAAAACCCATTTCTTTGCTCATCTATAAGAAGCAACTTCCTGGAGTGCCTGGGTGGCTTTCGGTTAAGCATCCAACTCTTGATTTCGACTCAGGCCATGATCTGGGGTTGGTGGATGGAGCCCCACACTGGGCTCTGCACTCAGTGCTCTCTCTCCCTCTGCCCCTGCTCCTCTCCCCTACTGCTCATGGGTGTGTGCTCTCTCCCTAAAAAAGAAAAAAGCAGCAGCAACTCCCCACCCATTCAAGTTTTATCATGAGACCGCAATTCAGTCCCATCTTCAGGCTCACTTCTAACTCTAGTTCTCTTGCTATTTACACCACATCTGCAGTGACTTCCTCCACTGACGTCCTGAACTCCTCAAACTCAACCATGAGGGCTGGAATCAACATCTTCAAAACTCCTGTTAATGTTGATATTTTGACCTCTTCCCTAAATTTTAATTCCAGGGCTGTCTGGGTGGCTCAGTCGGTTAAGCCACCAACTCTTGGTTTTGGCTGAGGCCATGATCCCAAGGTCATGAGATCAAGCCGCACATCGGGCTCCTCACTCAGCAGGGAGATGGCTTGAGATTCTCTCCCTCCCTCCTTCTATATGCTTCCCCCCACCCAGCAAGCACACGCACTCTCTCTCTAAAAATAAATATATATATATTTAAAAATGTTAATTCCACTATAGTTAGCATACAGTGTTAGTTTCAGGTGTACAATATAGTGATCTCAACAGTTCTTTATATTACTCAGCACTCATCAAGTGTACTCTTGATCCCCATCACCTATTTCACCCATCCCCCACCCACCTCCCCTCTGGTGACCATCAGTGTGTTCTCTATAGTTAAGAATGTTTTGGGAATGGGGCACCCGGGTGGCTCAGTCATTAAGCATCTGCCTTCGGCTCAGGTCATAATCCCAGGGTCCTGGGATCGAGCCCCACATCGGGCTCCCTGCTCAGCAGGAAGCCTGCTTCTCCCTCTCCCACTCACCCTGCTTGTGTTCCTGTTCTCGCTCTCTCTCTGTCAAATAAATAAATAAAATCTTAAAAAAAAAAAAAGAATGTTTTGGGGCTCCTGACTGGCTCAGTTGGAAGAGCATGTGACTCTTGACCTCCAGGTTATAACTTTGAGCCTCACGTTGGGTATAGAGATTACTTAAATAAATGAACTTAAAAAAAAAAAAAAGAGCATTTTTTGGGTTGTCTCTTCCCCCCCCTTTTTTTTTTAAGATTTTATTTATTTGAGAGAGAATGAGAGAGACAGAGAGAGCACGAGCAGGGGGAGGGACAGAAGCAGACTCCCCACTAAGCAAGGAGCCTGATGCGGAGCCCAATCCCAGGACCCCAGGACCCCTGAGCCGAAGGCAGATGCCCAACTGACTGAGCCACCCAGGTGCCCTACCCCCTTTGTTTCTTATGTTCTACATATGAGTGAAGTTATACGGTATTTGTCTTTCTCTGGTTTATTTCACTTAGCATCATACTCTCTAGATCCATCCATGTTGTTGCAAATGGCAATATTTTAATGGCTTTTTAATGGCTGAATAACATTCCATTGTGTATATATCACATCTTCTTTATCTATTCACCTATTAATGGACACTGGGCTGCTTCTGTAGTTTGGCTATTATAGATAATGCTGCAATAAACATAAGAGTGCATATATCCCTTTGAATTTGTTTTCATATTCTTTGGGTAAATACCCAGTAGTGTGATTCCTAGATCATTGAGTATTTCTATTTTTAATTTCTTGAGAAACCTCCATACTGTCTTACAGAGTGGCTACACCAGTTTGCATTCCCACCAACAGTACATGAGGGTTCCTCTTTCTCCACATCCTTGTCAACACTTGCTGTTCTTTGTCTTCCTGAGTTTAGCCATTCTGACAGGTGTGAGGTAACATCTCATTGTGGTTTTGATTTGCATTTCCCTGATGATGAGTGATACTGAGTATCTGTTCATGTGTCTGTTGGCCCTCTGTTTGTCTTCTTTGGAGAAATGTCTGTTCATGTCTTCTGCCCATTTTTAAATTGGATTATTTGGGTTTTCTTGGTATTGAGTTATATAAGTTCTTTACGTATTTTGGATACTAACCCTTTGTTGGATATGTCATTTGCAAATATTTTCTCCCATTCAATAGGTTGCCTTTTAGTTTCGTTGGTCATTTCCTTTGCTGTGCAGCTTTTTATTTTATTTAAATTCAATTACTTAACATATAGTCTATTATTAGTTTCAGGGGTAGAGTTCAGTGATTCATCAGTTGCATATGACACCCAGTGCTCACTACATCATGTGCCCTCCTTAATGCCCATCCCTCCAGCAATCCTCAATTTGTTCCCTATAGTTAAGAGTCTCTTATGGTTTGTCTCCTCTCTAATTTCATCTTATTTTTTCCCCCTCTGTTCCCCTATGATCCTCTGTTTTGTTTCTGAAGTTTTTTATTTTTATGTAGTCCCAATAGTTTATTTTTGCTTGTGTTTCTCTTGCCTCAGGAGACATATCTAGAAAGATGTTGCTATGACCAATACAGAAATTACTGTCTGTGCTCTCTTCTAGGATTTTTATAGTTTCAGGTCTCACATTTAGGTCCTTAATCCATTTTGAGTTTATTTTTGTGTATGGTGGTCCAGTTTTCCCAACACCATTTTTTGAAGAGACTGTCTTTTTCCCATTGCATAGTCTTTCCTCCTTTGTTGAAGATTAATTGACCTTGTAAGTATGGGTTTATTTCTGGACTTTATTCTGTTCCATTGATCTATGTGTCTATTTTTGTGCCAGTAACATACTGTTTTGATTACTACAGTTTTGTAACATAACTTGAAGTCTGGAATTGTGATATCTCTGGTTTTGTTTTTGTTTTTCTTTTTCTTTTTTTTAAGATTTTATTTATTTATTTGAGAGAGAGAATGAGAGAGAGAGAGCATGAGGGGGGGAGGGTCAGAGGGAGAAGCAGACTCCCCACTGAGCAGGGAGCCCGATGTGGGACTCGATCCTGGGCCTCCAGGATCATGACCTGAGCTGAAGGCAGTCGCTTAACCAACTGAGCCACCCAGGCGCCCCTCGTTTTTCTTTTTCAAGACTGCTTTGGTTATTTGGGGTCTTTTGTGGTTCCAAACAAATTTTAGGATTGTTTGTTCTAGTTCTGTGAAAAATGCTGTTGGTAGTTTGATAGGGATTGCATTAAATCTGTAGATTGCCTTGGGTAGTATAGACATTTAGTAATATTTTTTCTTCCAATCCATGAGCATGGAATATCTTTCCATTTTTGTGTATCATCTTCAATTTCTTTTACTAAGGTTTTATAGTTTTCAGAGTACAGGTCTTTTGAGAAACCTCCTAGGTTTTTTATTTCTAGGTATTTTACTATTTTCGGGAATCACAAATGATCTTAATGGCATCTAGAATAGTGAATCCTTGGAGCGCCTGGGTGGCTCATTCAGTTGAGTGTCCGACTTGGTTTTTGCTCAGGTCATGATCTCAGGGTCATGCGATTGAGCCCTACACCAGGCTCTGTGCTTGGCACGGAGTCTGCTTGAGATTCTTTCCCTCTCCATCTCGCTCCCCCTCTGTTCCTCCCCCAGCTTGTGCTCTCTCTCTAAAATTAATTTAAAAAAAAATTTTTTTTTTTTAGATTTTATTTATTTGACAGAGAGAGACACAGCGAGAGAGGGAACACAAGCAGGGGGAGTGGGAGAGGGAGAAGCAGGCTTCCCGCTGAGCAGGGAGCCCGATGCGGGGCTCGATCCCAGGACCCTGGGATCATGACCTGAGCTGAAGGCAGACGCTTAACGACTGAGCCACCCAGGCGCCCCTAAAATAAATAAAATCTTTAGAATACTGAATCCTTTCCAGAAGATTTTCTTTTTTTTTTCTTAAGAGTTTAAATTTTTTTTTTTAAGATTTTATTTATTTATTTGAGACAGAGAGAATGAGAGACAGAGAGCATGAGAGGGAGAAGTAGACTCCCTGCCGAGCAGGGAGCCTGACGTGGGACTCGATCCCGGGACTCCAGGATCATGACCTGAGCCGAAGGCAGTCGCTTAACCAGCTGAGCCACCCAGGCGCCCTCCAGAAGATTTTCAATTTCCTTTGCCCACATCCATCAGGAGAATCACTATCTATGGCAGATATAGCCCTACAAAATGTATTTAATAAGATCTGAAAGTTGAAATCACTCCTTGATCTCTGGTCTACAGAATGGATGTTGTGTTAACAGTCATGAAAATAACACTAATCTCGTTGCACATATCCATCCGAGCTCTTGGGTGATCAGGGGTACTGTCAATGAGCAACAACATTTTAAAAGGAATCTTTTTTTTCTGAGGGGTAGGTTTCAACAGTGGGTTTAAAATATTCGGTAAACCATGTTGTAAACAGATGTGCTGTTATCCAGGCTTTGTTATTGCATTTCTAGAGCATAGGCCCAGTAGATCTAGCTTAAGGGCCCTAGGATTTTCAGAATGGTCATTGGCTCCAACTTAAGGTCACCAGGTACTTGAGCCCCTAACCAGAGAGTCAGCCTGTCCTTTGAAGCTTTCAAGTCAGGTACTGACTTCTCTTTTCTAGCTGAGAAAGTCCTAGAGATGGCATCCACTTCCAATAGAACACTGCTTCATCTACATTGAAAATCTGTTGGTTAGTTGTCTCAGCTGGATCTTCTGGAGAACTTTCTGCAGCTTCTACATCAGCACTTACTGCTTCATCTTATACTTGTATGCTATGGAGATGACTTCTCTCCTGAAACCTCATGATCCGACCTCTGCCAGCTT